GGAGGTACAGTTCAGCAGACAATGACATTGTCAAAGAGATGCAGATGCGTTGGGTGACCCAGGATGTCGCTCCTGAAATATTGCTTGGCATGCCAGCAGTGGACGTGATATCTGAAATGTTATCTGTGTGCCTTTGATACACGGTTCTGGTCTCCACAGAGCCAATGTGCTGCGTTAATTGTTTGAATAGGAGAACATGTAACTATTGGTGGAAGGATGAGGTTTACTACTCGGCTGCCTGAGGTAGATTTCTACCACCAATGGCGGATCGGACTTTACCACCAACATGACTGCATCCGCTGGTGACACGGACACGATTTGAAATCAGAAGTCATCCCGCCATTGATTTTCTTGGCTCGCTGCCTCACGGCGCAGTTTCTAACCCCTTGTGGGATGGTTGAATCTTCTATGAGGAGGAGCTAACTAGGTTATTATTATATTCCATAGGAGATCATATGTGGGCGGAGTGCAACACCCCTGGACACTTAACCTCCCCATATGACATTGCTGAAGCAGGCCTCAGCTCCTTATAAATGAGCTGGGCTGCCTCTCAGACACCCGCACGAAGGATACACATTTCCAGACTCTCATAAAAAGGAAGAGCAGCGAGACAAACCAATTTCCACTATACTCCACCATACCATGCAAGTGGCCATCGCGGGCGTCGGTGCTCTCGGGCACCATATTCTACGCGCAATTCTAGCACAAGAGAAACATTCCGTGACCATCTTGACACGAGGAGAACCCGTCAGTAACTTTTTCTAAATGAAAAATGCGTATTCTCTCTAAGCTGCAAGACCTCTACAGACACGTTACCCCATGTCCTCAGTGTTCTAGTTATAGTAGCTGCTACCATATCATGTCGCTGACAGTTCACGTATCAGCGCTCTACCGACCTGCGCATCACATGGCGTAAAGTCGACTATAGCGACAAGTCCTCACTGGAGGCGGCGCTCCGTGGTATCGATACATGTATATCGACCGCAGCAGGCTTCGACGACAAAACATTCGCGGAGGGCCAGATAAGATTAGTCGACGCATGTATCGCAGTAGGTGTTCGCCGGTTCGTGCCATCAGAGTTTGAGCTCGATCCACACGTCCGCAAAGATCGCTACCCTTCTTCGGTTGCGAAGCGGAAGGTACTATCCCACCTTGCCACGCCGGCAGTTCGGGAGAAGATCCAGTGCACGCTATTTACACAGGGGGTCTTTTATGATTATTACTCGCCGATGACTGAGGATGGGAAGAGGCATGTGAGTAGCGAATGGCTGGCGCCGATTGGGTTTGACATAGTAGTTGATCTAAAGAACTGTCGCGCGGATTTTGTGGATGGGATGGAGGAGAAGAAAATACGGTGCACGGCGATTGACGATGTTGGGAAGTTGGTGGCCAGGGCTTTGGAGCTGGAGGAGTGGCCGGATCAGTTTATGATATCTGGGGAGAATCTTACTTGCAAGGAACTTATTGGGATTTGTGAGAAGGTGAGAGGTATGTATGAAAGATTCGAATTGCCAGAATCCTGAATCCTTGAGCCCACCACCCTGTGAAGAGATGTTATTATCATGTATCGCATATTCACGACAATTGAATTAGGAAAACCATTCGAAATCAAACGCATATCAGTTGCAGATATGGAAAGCAAAATAGAGGAGGCAGAGAAAACGAACGACATGATCAAAACATACATTTGGACGACACCCCTTCGTATCCTCGAGGGAGACTTTTGGTGGGACGACAAAACTACACAGGGAGTAGATATCAAAACCGTTTTTCCAGACGAGAAAATTGAATCCCTGGAAGGATTTTTGTCAAAATGGTGGTGATTTGGTTCACATGGCAGTCATATTGTTCAGTGATCCTTCGCTTTGATGAATGGACGGGTTTTAAAGTGTGTGTTTAGCTGCTAGGAACCAAACGATTCAATGGATTCTAGGAACATTTCTGCTATCCAGCCTAATGCTAAAAAATCGAATTATTTAACAAGGGAGTAGAATAGATTAATGATGTATATTTCAAATGTCCAATGTAGAGCCATTCTATTATTGCCTCAGCTCTAATAACCCGCCTTTTTCAAGGTGAATATTTTCCGTTTTCATCTAGATAAGTGGGTAGGAATACAAGTTCAAGTTGTCCGGTACTCATGACGGAAGTGTAGCGTCGGATGGTTTGCAAAACTGGGGTGACCATTGTGAGGAGAAAAGGGAAGATGAAGCATTGGAAGTCCGCGTATGCACTAAACTTAATTATACAAAATAGCGGCTCTTGGCTGCGTCCTCATTGACGTCAGCGACCGCCCTTAGTCAGTCGTTAGTCATATGATGGATTAGTCACCCGTCAAACAAGCCGCCTCGCTCCTCGCTCCTTCCCCCTTCGCTTCGCCTTAAACCCCCCAAACCAAACCTGTTCCGTTCCTTCTCCATCTGGCATCTGTCTCCAATGCGTTACTCGATTCGGCCTGCCCTTCGATCTTCGCAAACATCATTCCTCTTTCGGCCATCCTCTAACCCTATACACTCGATACGTCTTCCAAACTCGACTTCCATCAACTCCTTCGCCAACTCCTGCCCCTTCGCCGCCATGGCTGATATCACCGCCGCTGTCGCTGACGAGAATCCTTCTCCTCCCCAGGATGACCTCGTCTCCGGAGGCAATGGCGCTGCCACGGCTGCCGCTGCCGCTGCTGCTGCTGCTGCTGCCGCCGCCGCCGCCGAGAATCGCGGTACTAAACGTCCTCGAGTTAGCAATGCTGGCGAGGACGATGACGATGATGAGGATAAACCTGGCCGTGAGCGCCGGAAGATAGAAATCAAGTTCATCCAGGACAAGTCGCGTCGCCATATCACTTTCTCCAAGCGCAAGGCTGGTATAATGAAGAAGGTCGGTTTCTAGATCAACCCACCTTTCAATGACTTACTAAACTTCCGTTTGCTTTCTCCTTGTCGCATTTCTACGGTCGCCTCGTCTTATTATTTACGAGTCTCTACTCTATGGCATGGTAATTGACCTTGTGCTCTTTGTCATCTAGGCGTACGAGTTATCCGTCCTTACTGGCACCCAAGTCTTACTCCTCGTCGTATCCGAAACGGGTCTCGTTTACACATTCACCACCCCGAAACTCCAACCTCTCGTCACCAAATCTGAAGGGAAGAACCTTATCCAGGTATGTTACCTGTAGGCCACTATCATAGAAAAACAAACACAGAAGCTAATTGCCTCCATCTAGGCTTGTTTGAATGCCCCAGAGCCTACCGCCAGCGAAAATGGCGTCGAGGTCCCCGAAGTACCTCCGGAAGCCCAAGATGATGTCAGCCATGCCAATGTCGCAGGCCAGCAACCCAACATCCCCCGTCCCGGTGGCATACATCCTGGATATATGTCCAGCGAGCACCAGCAACAGATTGCATATTACCAGAACCTCCAACAGCAGCAGCAAGCACAGGCCGGAGGTCAGTATCCAGGTATGCCAGTTGGTGCACGCCTACCACAGCAACATCAACCCGCTGCATAGGTTTCCTATCTCTTTATTCTTTATTATCTTTTTCTTAATCATCGCCGCGTTTCCTCATTCCGGTTTCCATCTTTGTTTCTGTTTCTTCAATGGCTGGCGTAAGGATGTGCTGCAAAACTTGGTTTATTTTCTCTCTCTTTCTCTATCTCTTTCTCTCTCTCCATTTTCACTTCTATCCTGTACCTTTTTTTTCCTAATTCTTTTCTTTCTTTTCTCCCTTTTACGTGGATTGCGCCTCGTTTTTTGTTTAATACCCAACTGGCAAAATGTCAGCCATGGCCACATCCACCTCAACCACGCTATGGTTATGGGCTCAATGAGAATGGCGAAGGAGAAAAATCTGTCAAGCGGCATGACGTTTTGTCTTTGCCATTGCCTATATATCACCCCTTCTGATTTTCATCACTCACTGGTCACACAAACACACCCACGCACACTTGATGATGAAAGGCTTCGGTTCAGCCAGCGAAAATAAAATATCTTCAACGAGGGCAAAACAAACATGGACTTGCTCGTTCTCTCTTGCTACTTTATATCAAAAAATGTTTTTCTTTTTGTTTTGTTTTCTATACTTGACTCTTTCAGTTCTCAGTTCACTACGTTTATTGTTGAATTATTTCAAATTTTTGGCCCCCAATCCCCACCAAGCCCACATCATTTTTTCCTTCAAATATCCCAGCCAGCCAGCCATCTCGTTTACGTCTACACATTTCACATACTATTGAGCACATGCCCGTATACACTCATGACCCCTACAAAGACAAAGTCCGTCATGGCCACTAACGTGCCCATGTCAACAGAATAACATGAACACACACAATCAATCTAGGGGAAAACATGGAAAGCCATGGAACACGTGGGGTTGGGATATTGATATATGAATATCTGGATATGGATATGGAGAATAGGACAATACCAATATGGAAGGCAGGAAATTTCTAAATATATATTTAATATATTGCGGTATTGCAAGGTGGGGGAACGAAATACAACGGAAAAAATAAAATAAAACTAAAAACCGACGGGAAGTTCTCCTCCACAGACTATGCAGTGAAAAGAAGGAGGAAGGGAGAGGCGTAAGGCCGGACCGAATAGCGTTTTTCAATTTTTTTTTTTTTTTTTTCCGTTTTTCATTTCCAAGAGGCGTTCTTTGTTATTATTTTGACGGTTATTGTTATGCCACATACATATACGTATATGTGTGTGTGCGCGATTGTACGTGTTTTCGAGTTTGATCCATCCGCACCCTTTGCAATGATTACCGTTTCAACACCGCAACCTGCCGTCCTCGGTCTCCTGCATTCCTCCCCTTCCCTTCCCCTGAATCCTCTCTCTACTTCCGGTTCCATTCGGTGCGGTTCGATGCATCGTGTGTATGCCCTCCTTTAGAATGCCCCAGGGAGTTTTCAGGCCCAGAAGGCAACAGGCCGGGGTAGGGCCAAAACAGACTGGTATGGGTGGAAAGGATATTGGACACCGGACATCGGGTGAGGGTGATTCGACAAGGGAAATAATCAGAAGCGGGTGCCTTCTTTTCTTTTGCGGTATGTCTGTTGAAATATTCCAGGACGCAAATAAGTGCAGGAGTAACTGTTTGTTTTATTTTTTATTTTTATTTTTATTTTTTTTCCTTTTTACTTCTCTAATTAGCAAAAGGAAGTTTATCTGAGGGAGCTAGTTGTTGGGATTTGTATTTTTTTCTGTTCTGTTTCTTTTTCATTTAGGGGATTGTTTGTGATGGGTCATATATTTTATATTTTTTTTTTTTTCTGGCCTGCTTTTTGCTTTGTTTTTTTCCGCTCTTTTACGTATGTGTATTTTTTCCCCCTCCCCCTTTCTGTCAATTGTATCTTATCCAGGTAGGTAGTTAGGATGGGTTTTTTTTTCATTTATGAGTATCTATGAGTATGGTTTTTCTTCTTCTTCATTATTCTATTCTTTTAATATTTAGTTGTTTAATTGAATCTCTTGCTTGTGTGTATGGGTTTAGATTGTTGGCTACTGATCGTTCTAAATAGAAACGACAGACGTATATTCCACCTTTTTATTTATCTCATTTTGAATTTATTTTGAATTATTCGCCGAAGTTCCTCATTTATTCTGCTTTGGTCAGGCTTGTCCCCTGTAAATATTTCAATCAATGCGAAAAATTTGCATATTTGTTCGAGGATTTTAGTATGTGACTTCCTGGATGGACTATGTAACTATATCAAGATTGAATTAATTTCCAGGATCGGAATTGCGCAATGAATGATGAATGAATGAATGAATGAATGAATGAATTGAGGGGCTACTTGGTGATTTTGTATACTACTGTGTTTTCCTTGGGGGATTCTTTTATCGCCTACGTGTAAGCTGTGCTATGAATCATGTGCTATCTTTCGCGTGCGCATTATATTTTCATGGGCATGTATGGATGGGAATGTAAGTGAAGTGAGATTTTATGCTGTGTTTTCGTAGTCATATAGAATGTTCTCTCTCGGAGTGGGAGAAAGAAATGTACATACAAAACAATGGTGTATGTCATTTAGCATAGTAGTGTGCAGCAAACGGTGATATGCAGACAGGCTCATCATGACAACCAACAGACAAACACCCTCATACATCCCTTACACATGCAGACAATAGTGTAAACGTAACGCGGACATTTCATACGTTGCACGCATCTCAGAATCGAGCAAAATCCAATTAATTCGATCAATGAGTCAACGCCTATCTATACCTATCCTGTCCTATTCCCAATCCAATTTATCTATCCGGTGGCTAGCCTCCATCGCGATCACCGCCCTCATTTCTATTTCCCCCGCCCCCTCTCATGAAGCCTACTAACGGCCCTAGCCAGCGCAATGGGCCAGTGAATTGTGATCGATCTTGAGATCTCTGCTCCTCACTGGAGTTGCCATGGCCACCCGGGCCCGCATTGGTATCAACTTCAGCACCATCGACGCCACCATAGACACCACCAACACCCGCAGGCGTACTTCTAACATCCCTCGGTATTACTGCGTCCCGATAATTGATAACAAGCGGTGACGATACGAGCCGTTGTTCGCCACTGTTGTTGGTATCACGATTACGGAGCAGAGGACGCCGAAGGCGCGACGGCGAGCTCCAGGTCCACGATGCGGAACGGAGGGATCTGCGAACCTGCTGCCCGTGGCCATTCAGCCTTGCCGGAGATGGAGAAGGAGAGGATGGGTCGTTGATACTGATGTTGTTATTGTTCTCGTTGCCGTCGTTGCGGCTGGATGAACGGTATCTATTGCGTGTGATGTTGAAATGGGATGAGATGCCGCTCGTACTGCGGTGCCGTTTGTGTGGAGAAATAATAGTAGGGCTGTAAGGAAGTATGGGGGAGGAGGGCTGTGTGAAGGATTCAAGATCGAGGTTGTCCTCGGAATCGTCGAGCTCAGCCCAGATTTCGGCTGTTTCAAGGCTTGTTTGGGTGTTGCGGCGGATATTGGGGGAGAGATCGGTTAGCGTACGCGTGTGACGGCGGGAAGGCGAAGGGGGTTTCTGTTGTTGCTTTCTACGTTTTTGCGCTTGCAGTTGTCGTGTTTGGAGAAGAGGTTGACGTTCTCCCAGGGCTGTTTCATCGTCCTCGGGATAGTATGTGTATTCTGGAAGGGTGGGCTGCTCCTCTAGTAAACCAAGGCCAGGAGTTAGCGATGGGGGCGGTCCAACTGATACTGTTCCCGGGTGGGGGGTGACGGGGTCCAATCTCCAAGATAAACAGAGAACGCCAGATAAGAGGATTATGGTTCCTAGTGCTATAAGGCCCGCATGAAAGCCCGAAAGTCGCGAGGCTTGATGGAAATATATAAGCCCGTCCAGAATCGCTATAACATTGTATATGCAAAAGACGTATGGGTAAAGAACGCTGGTGCTGCACAGCTTGAGGCCGCAATGCATGTAATACAGTGGTGTTAAAGCAAGCACAACAAGGGTCAGTAGGATGATCCAGGACTGCCATCGGTTGAATTGGTTCATGCGATCTATTACGGTACGGACAATCAGCTCGACAGCTAATTTCGCGAACAGAAGCGAGTGTGCGGACAGAATGCCGCTGACCGATCCGTACATCATCCCACGAAGCACTTTTATGCGCGGACTATGGTGGCCGTGGAGAGGCGGAGTATATAATATAGGTATACGATATTTCCTAATCCACTCTCGAGTTTGACCCGGGGTAGAGATAAGTCTCAGCATGCGGGCGCCTAGGAGGGTTATTGCTACAAGGACGGCAGTAGCGGCCATCCACAGTATAAATGGACGGCGACCAAGCAAGACCAGCAGCTGGTCCAGGGTATGTGCAGGCTCTCCAATCGCGCCGAATATGCCGATCATGACAGCTCCGATAGATACAAGGATAGTGCCAAAGATGGAATAACGGGTGAACGGCTCCCCAAGGATCAAGGCTGCGAATATCGTATTAAAGACGAGGCCGGCCTAAAAGAGGCTGATGTTAAGTTTCCCCCATCTTATATGTGCCCAAGGGATATGGAGTTTAGACCTACCGCTTGTAGAGTGGATAGCACGGGGAGAGGTAGGGTTGTGATCTGGATTGTGCTCCCGATGATATTGGAGATGACGAACATGGACATTCCCACCTAAACTTCTTCTCAGTATATGCTGTCGCATCCAACAATCAAACACCCGATACACTTTCTCTCACCTGCCATCGTCGCCGTTTGTATGGCGGCCTGCGCAAATCGTAAGGGCCTTTCTCATCTTCGAGCATATGCGACTTGCGCTGCAAGGTAAGCCCAATGGCTTGGAGACTAGTTGATACTAAACCGACAAGAACTCCAATCTAACCAAGCATTAAAAACGTGTATAAGAAGTAGATTAGGGAGCAAATGTCTATATACCACAATGCTTCCACCCGGCGACAAGCCCCCTAACTGGCCCATCTCCTGGTATCGTCATGCACGGGCGGGGACAGGATGGGTGGTCCGGGGCGGGAACATCGACCATGAGGCTATATGTAGAGCAAAAGCATTACTAGAATTGGATGAAAGGTATCTATGGAGCATAAAGAAGCTCACACAGATATAGCTGCAGTTGTATAGATGTGAATGAAGGCGTAGATGTAGGGGTGTAACGACTGTGTGTCCTCGAGCAACATCGCTGTTGGGTCCAACCAGGAACAACGCTAGCCGCGGACAGATGATCAGGAGCCGCAGTGCCATCTCACCACCCACTTCCTTGATAGAGCGCGCATGTTCAACAACATCTACAGCTACGAACGACACGATCATAGGCGCACCTACATTGGCTTCGCTTGTTACTTCTGAGGGGGAACTTCAGCTTCTTCTGCCGTACAATCCCTTGGAGAGCTCATAATTACTCCTACTTGTCATTCCATACTTCATATCTGTCAACTACTCCCATCCCCGCATAACGCCAGCTTCAACCATCCACACTCGGTCAAAATGTCACAAAGCCATGCCCTCTCGGATGACCAGGTAGCCCTTTCTGTAAATGATGAGAGCAAGAAAGAATGCAAGAAGAAAGAGAATTCCACGCCTAGCTAACCACGACTTCCCAAACGCCAGGTGGCGGGCGAACTCCGCAAAATGACCGCCTTCATCCGCCAAGAAGCCCTCGAGAAAGCCCGCGAAATCCAACTCAAAGCTGACGAGGAATTCGCCATCGAGAAATCCAAACTTGTCCGTCAAGAGACTGCCGCTATCGACCTGCTCTATGAAAAGAAGTTCAAACAGGCCGCGATGTCCCAGCAAATCACCCGCTCCACCCTCGCCAATAGGACCCGTCTTCGCGTCCTCACGGCCCGCCAAGCATTGCTCGATGAGCTGTTTGACCAGGCCAGGGAGCAGTTAGCGAATGCGGCTACAAATGCGAAGGGGATCAGGGGGAGTGGTGGAGACGGGTATCAGGCTACGTTGAAGGGCCTGGTGTTGGAGGGGTTGTATGCCTTGAATGAGAAAAAGGTGGAGGTTAGGGCGCGAAAGAAAGATTGCGGAATTGTTAAGAAAGCGATTGAAGATGCGAAGAGGGAATTTAAAGATCAAGCCGGCAAAGAGGTTGCGGTCGACCTTCTGGAGAATGATCCGCTGCCTGAGGAATCGTAGGTTCCCTTACCTCGTGTTGCCTATGGGCGTATCATCTCTGATGGACAATTTCTTTTTCCCCCTACGGAGTAGTTCCGGCTGTTTACATTGTTGCTAACTTCTCTTTTCTAATTTCCAGAGCCGGAGGCGTCTTCATCGTTGGCACGGCGGGCAAAATTGACATCAACAACACCTTTGAAGAAAGGCTGCGGTTGCTTGAAATCGATGCCCTTCCTTCTGTTCGAGAAACGCTGTTCGGCGAGAATAAGAACCGCAAATTCTATGATTAAACGGCCTAGACCATTTCCTTTGCCTTGTTAAAGACTTTCTTTCTTTTCCCTTATCTTTGTACGTCCTTGACGGGTTCTTCTTCCCTGGTTTATGGATGCAATTTTAAATCCAACTTGCCTTTTGATTTAGTATGTTTGCTTCGTTTTCTTATATCTCTTTCTCTGGCGATAGGCGCTATTGTATTTCCAAATTGTCGACGTATGAACTAGTATTTGTAGTGGGGTTTTAGATCGGCCCAAGGCGCTTTCTTCAGTCCTTCCTTCGGCCTGGGCTGGCTCTCAGGGTTTAGGCATGCATCTATATACTTGGTTGTTGTATTTGATGTTCTAGAACTATGTGTCACTTCTTGAAGGGTGGTGGGATAATATTTTAATAGTAGTCAAGAAATAGTTACACCCGGCTTCTAAACGGGCACATCCCATGTCTTCATCTCTTCGATTTTATGCCCAATACTAGATATTATTGTCTTATTATCATTATTCCATATTTCTATCAATAACATTGTTCTCTTCTCCAAAATGAAAAAGATATAATAGGGACACTCGGAAAATGACAATCATTCATCTGGAGAAATTCAATGCTGTAGAGCACCTAAAGCCCCATTTCCAGCATCCTGAACCACACCGTACTCATGTATCTTTTTTTGATGCTTATCTGCCTCTCCCTTCTCCCCTTCCGTCTTCACAAACCACTGCTTTGGCGGCCTCGGCCTCGTCCGCACCCCATACGTAAGGCGATAATACAACGCTTGCAACCGCTCCCTCGTCTCTGATCTCCGCAAGTGCGACGCCCCCGAATCCCTGATTGCCGAGAAGATAGCCTTGATACAATCCGCCAAATCGTCTATGGCGGCGTTGAATTGATGTTCGGCCCCCCTGTCTACGTCGCCGTTCTTGTTTACGAATGAGGGTATGGTCGTGCCGGAATCGATGGCTATGTCCAGGATGGAAGTCAGCGCGTGTAGTTCCCAGAAATTGAATTGATCGTTGGATCCATTGGAGCGCATGTTTGTGTTGAAGCGTAGGTCATGTTTGAGGTATTTGGTCAGGCTGGGAAGATCGAAGAGCTGGCTTTTGGGCCTGTCGAGGAAGGAAGGATCGCAATAGAACCACGCCCAGGCGAGGCGGCAGCGGAAGAGGGCAACGCGAGGGCTGGTAGGGAGGATATTGTTTATCAGTTGGTTTTGGAGTTCAACCTCGTTTATGGTTTGGAAGAGGTGTAGAGAGAGATTTCGAAGCTGAAGTAGGTATTTGGTCAATTTGAAAGTATTTTCTAAGGAGGGGTAGTGAGCTAGACGTATATAGCACATACTATTTGATCTGGCATTGTAATAGGATTTGCAAAGTTGGTTGTTATGAAGTTTTGTACTTCAGCGCATATGAGACAGTCGTTCATGACTGCCTCGTCTATCGCAAGTCGAAGGATGATTTTAAGAGCATGTTGCCGGGTGTCGTCATTGAACCTGATTCGAAACAGTTAGAAGGCAACCAATATAGATGCGTTGAGTGAGAAAGCGACTTGCTTTTCTGATAGAACACGCAAGAGTTCTAATACTGATAGGAGGTTTCGAGTATCCCGATTCCAGTATTCTATAGAGCAAAGCGTTAGCTATACAAATCGATTATGGTAAAAACGTCGAAGTTTTACCATCAGAGATATGGTGATTGGGTTGTAGACTGATAGAGACGTCTAATGCAGCCTGTCTTGCTCCGAGCCTTCGAAAAAGCTGATCGATATGGCTTGGGGTTATTAACGACGATATGCGTCCCGCAGATGATTGCTAGAATAGTCAGCGGTATTGCGTTTAGCAAGAATACTTTACGAAGCATACCCCCAATACTGCGACATTTACCGATTGCATGTAACCATCCTGCCCCGTGGGGACTGCAAATATGTTAATACACAAACTACGATGAAGAAGACAATAGAATCAGGCAAACAGACCAGTTTGTAGCAACCACAGTAACACCTCGTCAGGAAGTATCCTGCTCGACAACCTGTTCGAGACAATTCCGGAGATGAATGCTGGACCACGCGTTTCAGGGTCTAAGATGCATTAATACAAGTGCGAGGTAAATTTGTAGCGACAGGCAGAAGCGCTCTAACCCTCTAGATTACATTCCCACGACGCAGGCTGTATCCACCCCGAAGGAAACCTCGGATATGGTTCAACTGGCGTGTTTTCTTCAAAGAACAGCCAGATCTTCCTTGTCGCGAACGTTTCTGTCCGCTCAACCGCATCCTTCAGTCGCTGAATCCCTTTGGTATCCGTCTCATCCTCGACAGCTGCAGCTAGTAGATCAGCACGCAGGATACCACGGCACCTTTCGGGTTGCACTTTTGGCAGCAGGCCCTGCTTTATTTTTGCAACTTTGGCTTCGGTCGCTTTATCATTGGCTGCGTCTGCGACAAGTGTGTCCAGAGAAAATTGATACTTCGGCAAATCTTTGCGGTCATTGAATTTTAGAGAGCTGCGACCTGAGAGAAGCTGTTGAAGTTTGGTAGGGCGCCCGGCGTCGGTATTGTCCCTACCATGTCGGGGAGAGTGGGACGATGAGGAAAGAGGCCGCACTGAGGCTGGAGGTTTTAGAAATCGGGCTAATAGATCTTCTGCCGATTCTATATCTGAGAGAGAGTCCGTATCCTCATCTGAATTTGTCACAATCACTTTACCATCTCTCACAATGCGCTGGGAGAAGGAATTGAAGCTGGTCGTGAATGTATTTGTTAGTTGATGTTCACCATCAGGAGGTTGGGATGGGTTATTCTGTTGCACATCCCTGCCGGAAGATGAATCATCGTTCGTATGTTGAGAGACTTGGGATAAGGTTCGGTCGTCCTTTATCTGCGAGGCCTCTTGTCTCAGGGGAATGGGAGAGACAAATGCGTGGGACGACAACGCAGATGACAACGGGGACGATAAACCAGACTGTGAGACCAAAGATGTGCTATCATCATCCAATCTGCCACTTGGAGCCCTGGTTCGAAGACAAGCGTTCTGCTGGGAAGGAGAACTATCCTGATGCCGACCGGAGCTGCTGTGGCTGGTTGACATTGTTTGGTGACAAGCTAGCTGGCAGATATCTTGACGTTGCGGCGGTTTTCCATCGTTCAGACGCGTCCAGGCGTTTTTGAGATCGCGATATCACGTGATATAGCTCAAATGCAATATTCCCTTTTCGGGAACATTCCAGCTTCATCATGGACTGGATAGTATGGACGGTTTCAAAAAGCTTTGTCTTACGCTAAGAATTCTAAAATCTTTACTCGTATAACAGATCTGTGGTTCGGCATCCAGAGTAAGGAAGCTCATGGATTACACTTATCTTTGCTACCTGTGGACAAGAACTTTCCCAAACTGGTCGCTCGTTATTTCGGCGAGCCCTCAGTTTTCAGATCACGACTGTCCATCTCCCTTTCTTTATATTACCAGAGTACTCTTACATTTGCTATCAGTAGTGCCTCATGTTTCCACAATAGGGCTTTGAAATCCAGCTTTTTGTCAATATTCTGTGTACTCCGTATGGTCTAGCTACATTCAGCACTTTGAATCTCACAATAGCGATTGGACGAACTTGATGCAGATCCTCCAATTTCGGCCGTCCTATCGGTGATATGATAGCTATCGATGGCATAGTATCTGCAGATGAGATGGTTATTTTTGTATGTAATGCAATATTTTCACTAACTATGCCTATAAAAATTTAGTGACCGTGCATAAAGTGATGAAGTTTTGCAGGAGATATGAAATTTCTATTTTTGGCTTCCACGACCAGGATGCACGAGCACGGGCCAATGATATCGCGCAGAAACTCGACCGGACCTCCTCGTTTGAAGCGGCTGAAACAAACACCGAGCCATGACGCAGGTGTGCTGATGGCTGGCTTGGGAGGCTCCAATGAGAGGACTGTGAGAGCGCCCTTGTACTGTACATCTGTACAGATCTGTACGTTTTGGTCTCAGTTCTGGCGGCTCTTCCGGGGACCTGGTAATAATTTCATGGTAATTCAGCAGGTAACTTGTGTATCAGAGTTTATCTTAGCACCAACAGTAACAGCGAGTAGTTAGCTAGTGTGGCATTGACATGCTGATCGGCGACTTCAATTCCAACAGGGTATCTTTTGCTTTTATGAATTTTCTTTTCCATTGCTATTCTACTCAGACGAGCCTCTCAAGGAATTCTGATCGGTTATTTTCAGAAACTATTCACCACCAAATCACCAACCATGTTGAGAATGTGCAGAGTGCGAGAGCAGATGTTATCGCTGATCAGTAGGGTGCTTCAGGAGAGCTCGCTAGAACCACCTAAGCTTGCCTTTGGAAGCTCAATATCGACTAACCATGGCAAGTGTAATGGATAATCCTCATCCACGCCCTTGATGGATGCATTTACAAAGAGTGTTCGCGAGCCAGCTTCGATAGAATGGGTATCTCCAGAACAATGACTGGTTGCATGACACGTTTCGGAGCGCTTCCCCGAATCATTATCCGCCTTTCCCGCTTGACTATGTTGTCCATCATGCTCTAATCCCGATCCCCCTCGTAGCGTCGACAAATCTGCCACCAAAACAGACCGCGCTTCATCGATATCAGCGGAATATGACGAGGCCGCGCTCATCTGATCTGCCGGCGCCCATGTAACCAGCTTCGCACCCCAGCGTTCATGGATGTGCCCGAAACAGTGTAGCCGTGGTCGGGCGCGGGCAAGGGCTTCAAAGACGAGTGTGCTGCCCGCACTATCACCTGATAACGTGTGATCCAGGATGCCCTTTGGCGGCCCATGCGTCATGACCAAGTCGACGGTATTGCTGATTTCAAATGTATGTCCCGACCGGAGAGGATATTGAAAAGCCCAGCCTCCTCCTTGTGACGGTGTCGAGGGGCTGGCGAAGACAGTCAGCGATGCGCCGTTTCTGAGGTCAAAGCTATGTGTTCCTTCCTCAAGGAATACGATGCCTGCTGATGTGGCGGCGTCGCTGTTAAAAAGCTGCCTTGCTTCTCCGAAGTCTCCGTACGCTCGCTTGATTAGTGCTGCATCAAGATATTTGAGCTGGAGCTCCACTCTCTTCTTGAATAAAGGGATATCCAAAGTGAAATCATGGTTTCCTGGAATGACAAGCTTGAGGGGTGCTTTGAGATCTGTTAGGAGTTTGATGGCGGAGTGGAATTCCTCCAATGTAGACCCTTCTGTGAGATCACCACAATGGATTGCGACATCTGCCTCTGTGTCTATAGTAAATTCTTGGCTGTGAGTATCAGAGAGAATCAGAAATCGCGTTTTGATAGTCGGTAAAGTTACAGATTTGGAAGAATTCATGATCTGCGACAGGGTCTTGCATCGGTACTATTATCGAGTGAAACATCATGGAGTTGGAAGAGACAGAAACCCGCATTAGGAAACGATGACATAATACTCAGCAATTGTTTTGCAGTGTTTGAGAACTATGATTGAGGGATATTCTTTTCCTTCATAGCCACTTCATCACATATCTGTATAATTAAGAATTGAATACACAGATTAACATGATATACAGCTATCTCTGAGATGTGTTTTTATATCATATATATGCTAGATTGATGATGAACTTGTATATACTACTAAAGTGTAGCCATGGAAAACAATAAGTGCTGTTTATATTCTGATCTACATCATATTTATGTAATAATTGATATAGTTGTTTAGTTATCCTCATTCAAAGATATCTTCTCCAAAAAATGTAGCCGCTGTATATCAAACAGGAATCATTCATTGTCAGATGCTTGATGAAGAATTAAGTTTGCTCTTTTTCAAATAGGATAGTGGCAGATTAGTAGCAGATAATGTGATTCTCTGGTTGGTTGGGTTACAATGGGGAATTCTTTGTGAAGCGTCTGATATTGATTCCGTGGGACGTCTGGTGGTTGCGTTAACATGTAGGCAGCAGGGGCGTATTATCCGTAACTAATAGGTAGCCTTAGGGATAAACACGTAGGTAGAAATGGATGAAGACTGAAGGCCACATGACGGGGCGCCTTCTGGTTGGTGGACAGCCGGTGCCCTGGTGTTCCAAGGTTGAGGATGATATAAAGTCCATGTAAATGGAATCCGTACACAGATAAAACTCCGCACTGTTATCTTTTTTGCCATCATTGGGGACGCTGGAAGGATGAATCCTTCCACGGGGTTCCGCGCTTAGTAACGAACCCGCAGTTTCTCGGAAGGACAGGATCTTTGATCGACGGTAAAAATACCGTTCTGCGGCACTTGGAGCCCTGTGTAAGTTTACCGACCATTTACGATCGTCATCCGATCCCAATTCCACAGCCAAGGCACGGAATGGAACAAGCGTCAAGCCCGCAGCAGCATATGTTCATACCGAGATGTCTTACTGCGCAGATTCCTCAGATTTAGCGAAAGGAGTTCCAAACTCCTGGGCAAAGCTTGAGCTGGATCTCAGCTACCAAAGTGCAGTATCCGTACAATTAAATTGCGAGGCATCCAGGTCACAAGGCTTATGCACGGTGCTAGTGAGCTAAGGGGGCAGGCCAGACTCCTCGCTTACTGAATATTTTAAATAACAATCATCCCATGCCGCGAGCCAAGGGGTGCTAAAACTTTTCGTGATCCCGGGTCCGTCCTGCCCTATCAATGCTACCATGTATCGCTATGGATTTACCACGGGGGTTCGCTTCCTTGATATGCCCGACGAAAGTTAAAGTTAAAGGACAATGGGCGCAAGTGGCGCTGAGATCTATCTCTGTCCATCTAAAAAGCTAACAAAAAATTCCAGAGGCTGATCCAGGCACCACCGGATACCGGAGTTGACTAAGCCAGTAACTAGGCTGTGTATTGGCCTCGTATTAGAAATCTACCTAGGTACCAAGCACAAGGATAGTTACAGGACAAATACGCCAGTTCATCAACCAACTCGCTCTTCTGGCGGTCGTCCAACCTCAGCACCCACGAACTCCTGACTCCCTCCCATCTTCTGTTCTGAACGCTGTGCCCTAGACGGCCATTCGCGCCGTAGGATATTCTGGCCGTTGTCACTGTCGATTCTCCGCGTTTCTCTTCCCCGGTTTGCTGACCAATTTCACTCCTTCGATTCATCCTCTACTTATCCGTCCCACCCACTTTTCAAGCTTTCACAACGCAGACAGTGCCTCCGGTTTACAAACCTAGCAAGAATCCCTTCCGCTATATCCAGTCCTCAGATCGCAATCGCATATATTCTTAATTTTGTCCCATTATTCTTCGTCGACCTCCCCCCCCCCCCCCCCCCCTTCATCTCAAAACGCCTGAATCTTATCCGCGGCCCAACGCATGGGAACACTCTCCTCAGCTTTCTGGGGGGCCTGAATAATTGCAAATGTGCGAATCATCGTCCTGACCCGATCTTACCCCTTATTTTATGTTATAAGTGGAATTAAGGAGCCCGGAATGGCCGTGGTACAATTTGGGGCTGAGGATGAGGCCACCATTTCGAAGCCTGTTCAAAGGATGCGATGGGCCACCCAACGCCAAACCGGTGCCGGCGGATCGCGAAAGAGACGGTCTATAATGGATAGACTACACCGTCGCACTAACTCCAAGGAAGAAAAACGAAAATCGACTACAAGCCCCTTGCCGCATCCCGAGGAGTCGGCGGTTGACGAAGCCTCTGTTGACAACTCGAATATTCGGCGGATATTTTGCAACGTACCACTTCCTGAGGATGTGAAGGACGAGAACGGCCGCCTCATCGCAGATTATTCGAGAAATAAAATAAGAACGGCAAAATATACCCCGTTAAGTTTTATTCCGAAGAATTTGTGGTTTCAGTTTCATAATGTTGCAAATATTTACTTTTTATTCACTATTATTCTATCTGTAAGTTTCCTTGTCCTTCTATACGGTTTCTGTCATATATGTCATGATTTGCTAATGTGTCATTAGATATTTTCTATTTTCGGCGCCACCAGCCCTGGGCTGAGCGCCGTCCCTCTCATTTCGATTTTAACAATTACTGCAATTAAAGATGCCGTTGAGGACTGGAGACGAACCATACTGGATACCGAATTAAACAACTCCCCGATTCATCGATTGGTGGAATGGACCAATGTTAATTCAATTGAAGATAATATCTCGTTATGGCGGAGGATCAAGAAGGCAACCACCAGAGCCCTGATGAAATTATGGCACGTAATCATTGCCTTAAAGAAAGGGGGAAAGCTGGAGGTCCCCGAAGAGGATATCCTGAATGGACAACGACCGTCAATAGATACTAGACGCACAAAGAGAGACTCGACGTATTCATTCAGACAATCGTTCCAGCAAAATACTTACCATTCCCACGAGGAAAACGGTGCCATACAGATGACACCTGTACCATCCCCTAATCCTGACAAACGCAACGCGCAAATGGACGGGCAATCATCCGGGATGCTCAGATCTTCAAGTGACTATCTGTCTCCAGAGCCACCCCAGGCGTCGGACCATGCGCATTTGCGTAATGAATACGGGAGCGTGCTGAATAAGTCCAGACAAACTCCTCAAATGGCAAGGTTCAAGCGTGATTACTGGAAGAACGTGCAAGTGGGCGATTTCGTGCGAATTTACAACGAGGAGCCCATTCCTGCCGACGTGGTTGTGTTGTCCACTTCTGACCCCGACGGGGCTTGTTACGTTGAAACGAAAAATCTCGATGGAGAAACTAACTTAAAAGTACGACAAGCGCTTCATTGCACTCGCGACGTAAAGCACGCCAGGGACTGTGAGAAGGCACAATTTACGATCGAGAGCGAGGCTCCGCACCCGAATCTTTATGAGTATAACGGGGCGATTAAGTGGATGCAACACGATGTGAATGCGCCGGATGGACCCGGAAGAGAGATGGTGGAACCCATTACCATCAATAATATTTTACTCCGTGGCTGTAGTATACAGAATACTGAATGGGTTTTGGGAATGGTAGTTTTCACCGGCCTTCAAACGAAGATCATGCTAAATTCTGGCGCGACGCCAACGAAGCGGGCAAAAATTGCCAGGGGCTTGAACCGGAACGTCATTTACAATTTCGTCATTCTTTTCCTTATGTGCCTTGTTTCCGGAATCGTTCAGGGTATCACCTGGGGTCAAGGAAAGAATTCTTTGGATTTATTTGAATTTGGGTCATATGGCGGCTCACCCCCTGTCGACGGGTTTGTTACGTTCTGGGCTGCAGTTATTCTCTATCAGAGTCTCGTCCCGATCTCACTCTATATATCCTTGGAAATTGTTCGAACTGCACAGGCCATCTTCATCCACAGCGACACATTCATGTACTACGACAAACTTGGCTATCCTTGCACGCCCAAGTCATGGAATATATCGGACGACCTGGGCCAGATCGAATACATCTTCTCAGATAAAACGGGAACCTTGACCCAGAACGTGATGGAATTTAAGAAATGCACCATTAACGGCGTTTCTTACGGTGAAGCGTACACCGAGGCCATGGCTGGAATGCAACGTCGCGAGGGTATCGACGTGGAAGAAGTCTCCAAAAAGGCAAATGAAGCCATCGCCAAATCTCGCGTTCAAATGCTCCAACAGCTTCGTTCTATCCATGACAATCCTTATCTCCGTGATGAAAATCTTACCTTTGTTTCCCCTGAATTCGTCTCTCACCTTTCTGGATCTGCTGGAGAGGAACAGAGAGCTGCCAATGAACATTTCATGCTTGCCTTGGCTTTGTGCCATACAGTTATAACAGAACGTACTCCAGGCGATCCTCCTAAACTTGAGTTCAAAGCTCAGTCTCCCGATGAAGCAGCATTGGTCGCGACCGCACGAGACTGCGGTTTCACCGTGCTGGGAAGATCGGGTGACGACATCCGGTTGAACATTATGGGTGAAGAGCGGTTATACACTGTTCTGAATACTTTGGAATTCAACTCATCAAGAAAGCGAATGAGCGCAATTATCCGCATGCCTGATGGGAGAATCATATTATTCTGCAAAGGTGCCGATAGTATAATTTATTCTCGCCTGACTCGCGGGCAACAGCAGGAACTCAGAAAGTCGACCGCAGGGCATCTTGAAATGTTCGCTAGAGAGGGCCTGCGGACACTGTGTATCGCCGAGCGAGTTCTGAGCGAGGAAGAATACCGAGAATGGAAAAGGTCGCATGATTTGGCTGCCCAGGCGCTTACTGACCGTGACGTTAAGCTCGAAGAAACCTCCAGTGCCATTGAACAAGAGCTTACTCTCCTTGGCGGCACTGCCATTGAGGATAGGTTGCAGGATGGTGTCCCCGATACAATTTCCCTCCTAGCAGCCGCTGGAATCAAGCTATGGGTCCTTACGGGGGATAAAGTTGAAACCGCTATTAACATTGGATTTTCGTGTAATCTGCTGTCCAACGAGATGGACCTGATCGTTTTCAATATCGACAAGGATGACCCTGACTCCGCCACATATGAACTTGACACGAATTTGGCGAAGTTTGGTCTTACTGGTTCTGACGAAGAGCTAATCGTTGCTCAAAACAACCACGAACCGCCGGCTCCGACGCACGCTCTCATTGTAGATGGAGACACGCTCAAGCTCATGCTGTCCCCAGAGTTAAAGCAGAAATTCCTCCTATTATGCAAACAGTGCAAATCCGTGCTGTGCTGCAGAGTTAGCCCTGCTCAGAAAGCCGCTGTTGTACAGATGGTTAAGACAGGATTGAACGTCATGGCTCTTGCTATTGGCGATGGTGCGAACGATGTTGCTATGATCCAGGAAGCGGATGTAGGGGTTGGAATTGCTGGTGAGGAAGGCCGCCAGGCTGTCATGTCGTCAGATTACGCTATTGGCCAGTTCCGATTCCTTCAGCGCCTCGTTCTGGTCCATGGAAGATGGTCTTATCGAAGACTTGGTGAAACTGTTGCCAATTTCTTCTACAAGGTATGCGAAGTACACAAAATTACTTAATTTGGACCCCAATGCTTACGTTTTATGTTACTAACGCATTGGTTAGAATCTTGTATGGACGTTTGCGCTCTTCTGGTACTCGATATACAACAACTTTGATTGTTCCTACCTCTTCGACTTCACGTACATCATCTTAGTCAACTTGGCTTTTACGTCTCTCCCCGTGATATTGATGGGTATTTTGGACCAAGACGTGGACGATAAGGTTTCTCTAGCGGTCCCGCAGCTGTATAAGACTGGTATCGAACAGAAGGAATGGACCCAGAAGAAGTTCTGGTGAGTAATTTTTTCTGTCTTCTAGCCTGACGAAGTATATCACAAGTTTTTCTAACATATTTGCACGCACAGGCTCTACATGCTAGATGGATTCTACCAGTCTCTTATATGTTTCTTCATGACTTACCTTCTTTATCGCCCCGCTACCGGAGTGACGGATAACGGACTAGACCTAAGCGATCGGAATCGAATGGGGGTGTTTGTGGCTTGTTCCGCCGTGACCGCTAGCAACACATATATTTTATTGAATACCTATCGTTGGGATTGGTTGACCGTTCTCATCAATGCAATCAGCAGCCTTCTCATTTTTTTCTGGACGGGTGTTTACACCTCAGTGGACTCCTCTGGCCAATTTTATAGGGCCGCCCGGGAAGTATTCGGCACGCTTACCTTTTGGGCGTTAACGTTTTTAACAGTGACGATGTGCTTGTGCCCTCGATTTACGATTAAATCGATCCAAAAGATATATTTTCCGAAGGATGTGGACATCGTTCGTGAGCAAGTTGTTACGGGGTATTTCAAATACTTGGATGAATACGAGGCATATGTTCCTCCTACTGCTCGGGACTTGTCCCCCGCGTCCACAGACCTTGGGAAAATTGATGTGTCGACGAAGCGACCGAAATCCGTGCCTGAAGACGAACGACCAATCTACCCACCATCTGTTGCGCCTACTGCAACGACCCACAACCCCAGAAGTCAAAACGGAAGCGATGGAACTGGATATACCGCAAGCTTAGAATTCCGGCACCAGCAGCAGCAATCAATTGATCATGGGCCGTCATACGACCGCGTTCGTCGGTCAATGGATCCGGTTCGGAGCAGCTTTGAAGTAACCCGCGATTTCACATCCGCCGCAATGCTTAGTCGCATGGAGTCGACTCACGAAGATTAACACGAACTGCAATACCCAACAACCCAGCTTTCAGACCTCCTCGCCCCATCTAACAATTAAATTTTCTATGTCATCCCGCTGACCCTTGTTTCACTTTATGTCGACCCAGTTAATGTATAGTTTCTCCGACCGCCACCATGTCCCTGATGACCTTCTTCCCTTGCACACATGTTTCCTTTTTTCCCCTTTGTTACTATTTACTTGCGCCACTTTTCAATTATTTCGATTACGCGGATGCATTCTATATTCTGCACCGAAATATTCGCATGAGCGTCAATTCTTATATGCTTACTCCAACGCCTCGCTTCTTTTCCAAATTTCTCCTTTTATCCTCACGTTATTACCATTAGAGGCGTTCAACTTGTTGCATGTTTGGCATTTGGCTTTCCAGAGGAGGGAAAATCGCACTTGTTTTTTTGGTATTTTTTTCTTCTGTTGATCGGCGTGTAGAATTGTCAATTTTCCTTGCGGAGATTTATATATATAAAAGCAACTTCTGGTTTTTGCTATCTTCCCTTTGATCCCTCTGCTTTTTGTTTTCTTGTCTTGAATTTGTAAATATCTATTCTTCTCCATGTTCTGCTTCCAACCCTGCACCAGGCATGTCTTTTTATTTTATTGTTAGCTCATTCACATTCCGCCCTGACCCTGTCTCCCTTTTTCTCTTCACCTTTTTTTTTATTTGGTTTTGTTGAACAAGCTATTTTTCTTTTTTCTTTTTTCTTTTTTTTCTTTTTTTCCTGTATGTCCTTCTGTACAAAATTTACTATATTTCTTTTCAAACGTAACAACGGGAACTCTTCCCCCATGTATATTTTGCCAAGTTTCTCTTTCTCCAAGAATAATCTGTTGTGATAACCGTTTCCAGACCTCCTTTGTATAGTGGTATGTTGTCAAGACAAGGAGGAGGTGCAAGACCAATATAGGACGCTTTGTGCTCAGAAGTTTTTTTGATAGACATTGACAAGTGATCTACTGCGTAGATTGTAGGGTCCAGATATGGAAATTTGTAGACGACCGTAGTGAACTCAGATGAGGACACATTGCACAAACATTTCTTTACAGAAACTCAACCCACGATATCCTGTGCCGAGTAAACCATCCTTTGGCCCTGACTACATTTTGCTGGAGCTCTGGTTAACTATCCTATTCCTGTTGACTTACTCACAAGCCTTGTAGATAGCGTCAATAGGGTCGATAGGATTGTTCCTACTTTTACTAGGCTTAACGGTTCTTGCGTGTGTGAAGCCGTGCCTGTGGATCTAGCTGACAATGGTAGGCAACTTGACTGTACCCACGCCACTCATCAATCACCTTTAAGCGGCTCCATATGAGATTGTCAATTTGCCGTCAGCGTCTTGTAAATTGCTATGCGAAACAACATCAAGTTGCCAAGACATTATGCAGCTTCTTTTCCGAGTTCTGGCAAAGCCCATCTCAGCATCCATTCAGACTCAATGATTTCTGTAGAAGTAAGCCTTTCATTCGGCCTAAAGGCTAGCATTCCCCTTAACATAGTAAGTACGGCATGCGTCTCGGCTTCCCCAACATCCGCCATTGCGCTTTCGCGCCGTGGCTCCTGTATAGAATCAGCGAAGCGGTTAACCAATGATCTGCCTGCTCTCTCGGACGTTCTCTTGGCCTCTTCCGTAAACCATCTCTCTCGTGCGTCCCATTGATGCCACCAATCGCACGGTAACTTGCCAAGTGCGTCCACGTGCTCCTTTATCATCCAGTCGCTGGACGGATTGAAACCCTCAAACAGTGGCCTTTGTCCAATGATATCCCAGAGAGTACATGCGAGAGTCCATACATCAGAGGGAAATGACAACGGTTCATGAAGCAAAAAGTAGGTCTCCGGAGGAGCAAGGATGCCGGGTGTATTGGAATAGTGACGTTGAGTAATTGAGGGCAGAAACGACTCTCCAAAGTCATTGATAAAAATTTTGGCTTCAGAGAGGGTCACAAGCTCGCTTTCTTTCCCTAGCAAAATGGACACAACACCGTGAGTGGGAACGCCGTCGGAGAGTGGCTTGCCATCAAGGCGCACAAATGGCTCGATGTTAGGCTGACCGTATTTTTGGTATAATTCTCCAGGGGATAGCTCATCTATGCTGTTTGGAAAGCGAAACATTATGTTCCCCGTATGGAGGTCTGCAACGAATCCCGTTAACAACGAACGCCTATAGAGCCGGCCGGATAAATAAATTCCAATAACAAATATACATACCGGCATGAACTAACCCTTAGTGATGCAGGAAAGCGACAGCTTGTATGACTTGGGTCATAATGGCCTTCGCGACAGGCAATTTGAAAAGTCTGGTATAGGATGCATCTTTCGCCTCAGCTATAGTCATCATACCAGGCTCTGTAACAAGGCATCTGTGCCTTCCATTAGGCGCATCAAGGGAAAACGTATCCAAAACTCGAGGGATCAGAGCTTGTCCAGGACGTCTCTGATCCCGTGGTTCCACGTGGGCCAGGTTGTTGAGGATTGTACTGTCCTGCATATCTGCTTCGGCAATTGCAATCTTGACGGCCACATACTTTTCCGTATTCCTATCCCTCGCCAACCAAGTTGTCGAGTACGCACCAAAGCCAAGCTTATGAACGACATCGTATCGGCCACTAAGACGGTTCCCAAATAGCTATGGGGTGATATCCTCCGGGACGATAACGCCCGGGATTTTCTATATCCTCAAGGGGCATATATTCAACTGGAGAATATGTTGTGGGGGATGCGTAGGGAGTAACAGAGTCCATTTCTACGATGAGTAGTGGCGACGTTTCTTCCCTAGAGTGGCAAGATGAGGTTCGGGAAATTGGTAGGTTGGCTGCCTTCGAACATTGAATAAAGCCTGCAAGCGCTTCGTAATGACAAACAACGGATGATAAGAGAAGGAGAAACAAAGAGCATGGCGCTGGTGGTGATCGAGCTCTTTTGTCCCAGTGGCCTAACAATTCTACAAACTCTGGACTAGCACACTGCACATAGGTGTAAGTTATGTGTACATGCCGTACAGCGGCTCTGTATGACTGGAGTAAATAGAAATAATACATATCTGTCCTTGTCAATTTAGAAGTATTACATAGTCTGGCAGCTTCTCATTGACTGAGTTCACACTTTTGAACTGCTAAAGCTGCTAAAGCAAGTTGATTTATATTCATTATTATTAAATTCTATATCAAGCAGCTATAATCGATGAGTGTATGAGGTTGAAGTTGTATTTTGTATTCTTTTGATTGGTGTTTCTAAGCTATACTATATATCATGTGATTTAGTGTCCCAGCAAGTGGTGAAGTGCTCTAATGAAATAGTCGCGTAGTCAACTTCGCTTTTCCCTTCAACAGCTGCCTTCCGCGTCAGAAGAAAAAGAGAGAGATAAAAAAAAAATAAAAAACTCCACTCGAAATATAGTAATAGAGTCTCTTTCTTTTCTTCACTCGTTCTCCACAATCAGCGGACTGTGCCTTTGTGGACTTTAATAAAAAAGGGCGAACAACGTTATCAAACGGGGACTAGCCGAATCTTGATGTTCTCAGCGAGTGCAGCGACCACTCTCTACGGGAGCCATGATGGAGAATGCATGAACAGCGGAGTGATACGGGACACCTCTCATCGCTTGTGAATTCTTTACGACGGATCCGATTCTATGGTTTGTCTTATACTCCTTGCACTTTATTGAGCAAATCCCGTCCTACTTGCGGGGTAGGTAGCTTGAAGCCATGGCGGAGCTGATGGACGTTCTCGAGTGAGTTTTACTAGCAATCCATTTTGGTGTTAATTTGTACATTGACAGAACTATGGACCTTTTTCCTTTTGATATATATCTTCTGCTATGGGTCCCGTTACATCTGCAAAGCTACCTGTCATATTGCTAACCGATGATGCACCTGTGGGTTCCAATAGGGAATTAAAAGCCCTCCCAGAACAGCTACATATGCTCTGTCCCCGCCAAAACGATGATGACATGGGACTGTACAATGATGAACATATCCATTCCCTTGACCCGACCGACCCAGATGTGAAACCCAATGTCGAGAATCTCAATCGTATCTCCGAAGCCACCTCGCGAAGACAGAAATTCCTATCCTCCATGCGTCTTCTTGCGTTCAGCGGCGATGAAGTCGAGATCCAGCAGGAATGGATATGGAGGCGACTCGAGCACGACTTGGAGAAATGCGACTTGTGCATTAAGGAATATTATAAGGGAAAGGTGTGGCTGATGGATATGTTGGGCGAGAGCTACGATGAGTTGGAGGTCGAGAAGTTTGGCAGAATCATTGATGAACAGGATATTAAGCGGATTGTGAAGAACTTGGATCGGGCGACGGAGATATTGAAGACTGTTGCACCCCAACAGCGAAGTCTTTCGGTCTTGGATCGTGCAGCCTTGTTATCGATTTTCGAAGCCATGAGCTCAAAGGCGATGCTGAACGAGGACGACATACTCCGGGCCCATTTTGACGAACCGTTTACCTTGGTGCAAAGCAACCGGACATTGAAGATGCCCGAATATATACCCGCAACCACTCAGTTTCTTTTTGATGCGAATGATCAACGCCGCCGGTGGGCGTTCACTTCATGGGGAAGGATGAAAGCACCCCCTACCACCCCAGAGTTCGACTGGGCAGTCAAGGAGCCGCTACTTGTAGCTCTTCGCAAGGCGTCTTGCCCTCCTGTTCAACCAGATCTAGTCCGGAGGCTGTGGGAGGGCATCCATGCTATTGTACAACGGCTAGATAAAGAACAAATCACTCACAACCTTAGAGCTTTAGAAATTGACCCTTGTCGATTATCAGTTGACCACCTTGCTGTCCCAACACCAGGTTTACGCTCACTATTGAACACCGTTCAAATTTTTCTCGAGAAAGCGCCAAGTGATTTCTGGGACGCTATGCAAACCATTTCCCCGCAGGCTATCATTGAACAGATCTTTTATAACCCCCAGTTCGATGCGTTTTTACTTGAGTCGCGCGATGATAATCCCTTTGAGAAACCTTCACCTTTGAGGGATATGTTGTCATGGATCGAGCCGTTCATGGCTTCTCTTCAAGGCACACACCAGCCTCAAGCATGCAGAATACTTGTTTTCCAACTTCTCACCAGGCTACAGGACTCACGCTTTCCAGCAATTTCGAGATATATTTGCTTTCGAAGCGGACTGTCCACCCTCGTTTCTACATTGCGGACCTTCACGGATAACGAGTCAACAAGAGGTTCCGTTGCCAGGGTTGTTCTATCTGACACTCTTGAAGTTACAAGTGATAATATCGGCTATTTCATGGAACCTCCTGAATTTCCGATCGAAGGAAGTAAAAAAGTTATCTCCGGCCTATGCGTGGATGTAATTCGAAACGCCCTTGCTCTAGAATGTCAGTCCTTGAAGTCTGACTACGAGGTTATTCTTCGTCGGAAACCTATGGCGCATGGCGTGAGCACGTACTCTGCTAAGATTTGGGATGCTGTTGTCCAGCATCTGCATGAGGATAATCTTGGGCTTTCCAACGCTGCTCTCATGGGTATTTTGCCCCTTGTTGGATTAGAGAAATTCTCCACCAAAGGCGAGAATAGCAAGGAGAAAACGCATTTCAACGTCATCTACGGACACTTGACACACCTTGCTTGTCAGATCCTTGAAAGGCTAGCTGACTTTAAGCCGGAACATTTGGATAATTTATTTAAGAGCCACGACACGAATGGCTCGTTGATTTCGGCCCTTTTCTCCGCCGATCTAAATACCTATCAAGCTGCAGTAGATCTTATCAAAACTATTAGTGGTCAATCTGGCCGCAAGGAGGCAATATCTCACCTCCTACAGTCCTTCTGTGCGACGACGATGTACGGGTTCAGCTTCTCATTCCGACGAATATCCAACATGAAAACTTTTGCATCTGCCCCTCGGATGCTAAAAACTGGGACTGATATTATAGATGTGCTCTGCGACTCTGAAACTGGCATTCTTAGAACGCGAAAACTTGTTGATCGCGTGGAGGCCGTTTCCCTTCAGAGACTATGGGAATATCAATGGCAAGCTCTCTCCACTATATTCCAGCAAACGGAGACCTGGCATTTGATGGGAAATGATAGGATGGTTATGCTAGAATTTTGCCGCGATACTATCCAGTTTGCGGAGCTTCTTTTCAACCAATTCACTATCTTTGCGAGCAGTATTTCCGAATTTGACCCTTCCGAGTCCCAATCAGCAAAGGAAAACCTGGTCAAAGCCCCTGCGGTGACATTGGACTCCATGGTCAGATGGCTTCGTTTGAAAGATGATTATTTAGCGACCACATTAGTAGGCCTTGTTGCGAAGCTTCTCCGGCGTATGGGAGAATTAGACGTAACCCTTGCTGGAGATACTTTGAAGTATATTGAGGATGTGGCTCGAACTTCTCTCATCAAAACCATATTAACTGCGCAGGAAAAGGCTGAGCTTGTGAGAGCTCTCGAATCATACTATAAAAAGCCATTCGTAACAGTGCAGAATACCACTGTCCAAAAGAAAAAGAAGCAGACTACCATCACCTCATATGCGAAGCCAATCGATCTTACAAGTGTTTCAAGCCCCTCTAAGATATCTGGAAGTGATGAGGATGAATTTGACGACATCCCGGACGAAGTGCTTATGCAACTTTCTGGATCTGTTGAACTCAACAAAGCACGCATCGCTGCTCAGAAACGTCCGGAGAAGTCTGCCATTCCGTCTAAAAGTGCTCCTCGACCCATCAACCCCGTCACAAATGTCCTTTCCTTCCGTGAGAAACGAGAACGGGAGAAAGAAGAAAAAAAACGACGTGATTTGGCTGAGCTAGCTCGATTGAAAAAGAAGCTCCCATCTCAAACTGCCAATCAGGGCTCTGGTTTGCAAGGAATTAATGTTAACATTGATGAACGTGGGCCTGTTGAGAGCATGATGGTCTCCGACTCCGATTCGGATGCGGATAGTGAGGATAGTGATGGTGATGATGGAGACGCCCCTGGACGAAAGGCCACATCTAAGCCAGATGCAGTGAAAGCATATGAGGAAAGCAGGAGAAAGCTAATAAGCCAACGTGGTCCTGTTAGGAAAGTTAAACTTGTGCGGTCTGCTAAAGATATGCGAGCGAGGCTCTCACCAGACCTATCACTACTCCACAGGACCTTACTGAGCTGGGAATTCTTCGCGAATGGTGACCTTCCTCCGAATTCTGGCCGTACAGACTATAGCCTTGTTTCAAATACGTTTGCTGATGCGGCGGATTACCAAAAAACTTTCGAACCCCTGTTGATATTAGAAGCATGGCAAAGCTTCCAGTCAGCGAAAGAAGAAGGTGGTTTCAAGGCCTTCGAAATCAAGGTTTCAAATCGCATGTCTGTGGATGCCTTTGTTGAGGTTATCACCTTCATGCAACCTACGGAGGCTAAGGATTTGGGATTGGCGGAATCCGATCTTGTTCTGCTATCTAAGTCGAACAATCCGAGCTCTGATGAAAAGGCGCCACATTGTCTCGCAAGAATTTTCCGGTCAATTAAAAAGAAAGGGATGATGGAAATTTCCTACCGCATAAATCCTTCGAACCCACTCATGTCCTCAATTTTACCAGGAGCTTCACTATATGCCGCCCGGGTCGCGTCTTTAACTCCCGTTGAGCGAGAATACGGAGCCTTGATGGCGCTGAAGTACTACGATCTGAGCGAGGAAATCATCAAAGCCAAGCCATCACCCATATTGAACTATTCGCTGGAGTCTCTTAAGCCCATCATTGATACTTACAAAGTCAACCCTGCACAGGCAAAAGCTGTCAGGTCGGCAATGGATAATGACGCGTTCACATTGATTCAGGGGTATGCGTAAAATGATCCCTTACATTTGTTAACTTTCGTAATGCTAATTGTTATTCCCAGCCCTCCGGGTTCGGGCAAAACCAAAACCATTGTCGCCTTGGTGGGTGCCATTTTGACCCCTGTCTTTGCTGAGCAAAAGATCACCCGACCCGGGTCATCGGGCGACTTCAGACCAGTGACACGAGCTACGACCTGCGGAAAACTTCTTGTTTGCGCACCAAGCAATGCAGCTGTTGATGAGTTGGTTATGAGGTTCAAGGAAGGGGTCATCACGTCGAGTGGACAAAAGCAAAATATCTCCGTTGTCCGTCTGGGTCGAAGTGATGCGATAAACTCGAATGTCATGGATGTAACTTTGGATGAACTTGTAAATGCAAAGCTTGGGCAAAATGGTCGCAAAAATGGCAGTGAGAAGGACCTCCAAACTTACTATTCGGAACATAAGGGAGCTTGCACCCAGTTCAACGAAATTCGCGAAAGACTTGATCAGTGTCGTGCAAAGGGACAACATGTTCCGTCTGAGCTGGAGCGGGAATTTGATCTGTTGAAGCGGAAGAAAGCGCAACTTAGTCAGGCCATTGATAATGCCAGGGATAGTAACCAGGCAGCAGCCCGTAATGCTGACCTTGCGAGAAAAAAGGTTCAGCAGGAGATCATTAACGGGTCGCATGTCATATGTGCAACTTTGAGCGGAAGCGGTCACGAAATGTTTCAGTCACTGAGCATCGAGTTTGAAACGGTCGTCATCGATGAGGCAGCACAGTCTATTGAGCTTAGCGCTCTTATCCCTCTCAAGTACGGTTGTTCCAAATGTATCCTTGTTGGTGATCCTAAACAACTACCGCCAACGGTTCTCTCAAAAGTTGCGTCGCGCTTCCAATATGAGCAGAGCTTGTTCGTCAGAATGCAAGCCAATCACCCCAAAGATGTCCATCTCCTCGATACCCAGTACCGAATGCACCCAGAGATCAGTCGTTTCCCAAGCGCCGCATTTTACGATGGTCGACTTAAAGATGGGCCAGATATGGCTAAGTTGCGAGTTCGGCCGTGGCATAGTAGCGAACTTCTGGGCCCTTATCGTTTTTTTGACGTGCAAGGACTCCATTCAAGCGCCCCAAAAAGCCATTCATTGGTTAATTTAGCAGAACTCCGCGTAGCGATGAAGCTCTACGAACGGTTGACTATTGATTATTTGACTTACGACTTTAAGGGCAAGATCGGAATTATCACTCCGTACAAAGGCCAACTTAGGGAAATGAAAAATCAGTTTGCGAACAAGTACGGGAGTTCAATTTTTACCACAGTCGAGTTTAACACCACAGACGCATTTCAGGGACGGGAGTGTGAAGTTATAATTTTCTCTTGTGTGCGAGCATCTAATCGTGGGATCGGTTTCTTGGCTGATATCCGCCGGATGAACGTTGGGCTGACTCGTGCAAAATCATCACTTTGGGTGCTTGGGAATTCACAGTCACTCGTCCAAGGCGAATTCTGGAACGGGCTGATTACCGACGCTCAGTCGAGAAACTTGTATACCCAGGGGGATATCCTGAAACTCTTGCAGAGGCCGCAAATCAGCCTAGATATGGAGCTGAAAGATGTGCAGATGATTGACGCTCCGAGCGCGAAGAGCTCACCACCATCAAGAAATGGATCTATGACTCCAGGCTGGCATGGAAGTAGCCGTCCGTCGTCGGCTCTATCAACAGGTCGTGTTTCCAGTACCCATCCTGCGTCCTCCAGGGACACACCGGGCCATAGTCCTACACTAGTGCCTTCAACTGGTCCTGAAGGGCCTTCAGGCGGCAAATTCGGTTTGAACGACTTAGCCATGTGTGGATTTTGCGGGAGCTACGAGCACATGACGACAAACTGCGATAACGCGGAAGCCAAAATGGCCAGCCACGGCGCCTGCTGGCGATGTGGAGATGTTTCACACTCTAAGCGCGATTGTAAAGCAGAACGCTGTCTCCGGTGCGGTGCCTTTGGTCACTCAGCCCGCCAATGCACATCAACAGTTGTCCTCTCCAAACAGGAGAAGGATAAAATCGCCCGCGACGAACATCACCATGCGCAAGCTCAAAAAGCAAATATCGAGCGACAGCGGCAAAAACAACTCGGCGACCACGATCCAAAAGTGCCAGTTATCCAGGTGCCGTCAAAAGTCGCCTCGAATGCACCGTCATCCGCAGGAATACTTCATCAAGGACAGGGCTTGCAGGACTCGCCAAATGCTGATCAGGGAAATTCGGGCAAACGAAAGCGGATGGAAACAGATCTTCCTAGTTCGCGCCCAAACTTGAAAGTTCGAAAACCAAATGCCCAGTTTAATGCTCAGTTTGCGGCGCCTCTGAATGCCCCAAAGGGCCCACGGGGGAAGAAATTAGACCCCCATATCGTTGCTCCTCCTACCAGCGTAAGGCCTTGTTCGAATCATTTTCGAAGGAAAATCCCATGTATCTTTTAATTAACTAATAAATTTTTGTTTCAAGGACCTGGTAATACCGTCTAAATCTGAACAGGGACATCAGCCGATAGCCTCCAAAGATCAACAACTTTCACGCGCTCGTTCGGGGACTGAACAGGAGAAGCAGACGACAAATGTAAGTTCAGGCAAATTTTTCTCTCCCATCCTCTCCTCGTGATGGAAGCAGTGTCGTAATAACAGCAATACTCGACAGACCGGGCCCCAACCACTTCCTACGTCACGTCCTAGTAATCCTCGTCCACGTCCAAATGGTGAAAACAGAGGCCCACCACCCATGAGAAAGAAGAAGCCAACCAACATATTTATTCAACCGAAAAGAAGATAGAAGTTGGCCCTTTTGCTTCTTTGTTTTTTGTCTCAAGACTTTGTATTTCTATTTCTTCCATTTTAGCCCGTTTCTTGAGGAACTGCAGCTCGGCTTCGCTTCTACTTGCATCGTTGTGAACGCACATTGGAGCGCATAGATCTTGTAGCATTATTTTTATTTTTAATTTTTTTAATTTTCTTTACTTCTTTATGCCATTTTATGACGTTTCTTTATGTTTTTGTCGTAGTTTTTCTCATTTTGTTTTATTTTTTTGACGGTAAAGGCATGTTTCTTCCAACTTCCCCCTAATTCATGATTTAGGAAAGACAAATGAGCAAGCGAGACGAAGAAAGCATCCGGGCGGCGTTTGGCAGACTATTTTTGTTATTATTTTTATGTGTCATGGTTTCCACGTTTCTGCGCAGTCGCTGCATCTCCGCCGTTTCTGTTGAACCATTTTTTGAGGGCATGGATGGTTCTCTGTTCTCAACACACCGACAATGTTGGATATCTACCTGTACATCATCTGGCATTTATTGTTTTTGATGAAACGTTCATTTAGCCACGGGGACAATTAGGCACATCGTAACATTCGTGTCAGATGAACTTTTGGGGGGGGGGGGGGGGGGTTTTGTGCTCGTTTCCGCTCTTGGGATTGACCTTGAATTGGCCGTAGACTTGTCAACATCTGTCACCGCCACTGTGGTGTTCCTTGGACACTGGCCAGCGTGTTCATGATACTTACACGAATCAATGGGTAAGTAACATGTTTTCGTAAATATGACTTTACTCTACTCGAGGTTCCAGAGCTGTTAAGGCTATTCCACTCTCCGGAAAGCCCACACGAGTGTCGGTGTCAAAATTCTATGTCAAACTAATTACACTCTGGGTCGAGGATGGGGTAATGAATAAATGAATTGATCATTGAATTCTCTGCTTGAGAGCATACAAAGAATCAGGCTCACATGCTAGGTATGCATACGGGTGTACATATCTACCCTTGTTGGCTCTCGGCGTGGACATGTACTGAAGATATGTCTGCTATATAAAAAATTTTTTTAAAAAAATTGACAGAGTACCAACCCATTAACAGAGCACCAGCATGCAGATAGTCAGTCACTTCAACGTGCGGATATCCGTCAAATATGCCTTCATCCATCGTACCATGTGTGTGTCACCATACCATGTACTGGAACGAGCATGGGGGATATGGAATGTCTTCTCATGTTGCCCTAATTCTGGACGGGATATATCCTATATCCAGCGAAGTCTACGTCTCTGACATCCGCAATCTACTTCCGCATATTCCACAGTTGAAATACGGATTAGCTGAGAGCGGGGTATCTCTTTTCCCATCACAGGCCCTAATGGATGAGAAAAAAAGGAGAGAATCGTCTTCCTATAGCTGGCATCTGCTTTGGAATGTATCGTAGATCATAAACGGTGAAAGGTGTTGATTTCGCTTTTATCAGAGATGCATCGCACTGCGTATAAGGGGACAGAAGGACAGAAACTTGTCCCCCGTAGCTGCTTCTTCGATACAAGCTAGCGATGGCGATGTATCAAAGTCAGCTAAGGCGGTCAATGGTAGGGGAATGCGGGCCGAAGGTGATAGAAGCGGGAAGGCTCTCCTGGCCTAAGACAGGTGGTAGCAGGAAAAGGCATCTTTCTATTGATGTTCAGTTCTGTTTATAACTAGCGGTCGGTCCGGCAGGATGATGGCAGAATGGGGTAGACATTCTCCAGCTTGTGTGAGCCGTGGGGAAGAAGTAAACGTATGATTATCCAGAAAGGGCAACAATTAGTTACGCCAGTTGACAGATCATGGCAGGCAGATTAGGTTTCTGACTGTGAAACCACGAGTGGCCACCTTGTTTATTCGTGTGTACTTAGTCATTTCATATTGTTATGAGAAAATGAAGTTGAAGTGAGTCGTAAAATCAAATTCACGCCTGAAATCTGCTCTGCTATATCTCATGCTGTTTCTAAAACTCAGCTGAATAATCTTTACATGTAAGGTAGGGGATGTGGATAAATTGATGTCTCATTTCCCAATACGTGAGAAAGAGGAATAATCGGTTAATCAATTGGTAGGCGTGCATTATTCATTAAAAACGAAACATCGACAGGTCAATAAACCGAATGAGTGGGAAGGAAGACGAGATTCTCAATCCCGACATTAGGGAATTGCTCATGTCTCCCTAGAGTCCCTTTGATTTGCATGGTGTGATTTGATAGTGGCGTGCTTGTTGACAAGTGCGTGCTTGCATAGTTGCGAGAACGGTTTGCCGTCGCGAATGAATGGGTATCGCTGCACCATTGACGTTTGGTGATATTACAGAGCCTCTGTATTTGTGGTTGAGGTTCCAGATCGAGGTCTGAGAAGGTCTCCACAGGCCAGCCCGAGACCATTCATGGTGCACTGACTTCCTCGAAACGGCCTATCAAAATTGGACAACGCGGGTTCCGTTTGCAAGAAACGGTTGACAGCAACAAAGGGGTGCAGGGCGACCTTTGTGGGTCGTTCTCGAATATGACGACAACGCCTAATATCCATTAATATGCGATGCTGCAAGAGCTTTCTTTTCGGTGACATCTGCTTGCTGGGAAGAATTAAAATATTGTATATTTATGTCTTCTAGTTGAAAATTGTGAAATGTCCCCGTTGGTGAAGCAAAATATCTGATATATGGTTTCTGATTAATGGAGTGGTTGGTTGGCTGTTGTTCCACCGCCTGCTTGCCATATTGATCGACTTTCGAGGCGTTCACCCTAATTATCTACGCTGCGTATTTCCTCTGAGATTCCTCAAGAAGCAGATCAAAATAGAACTCGATCACATCCCGTAGTTTCAGAAGTTAAACAACAAAATGTTCATGGATAATGCACTCTCATCTCACCTGGAGCCACGGTGGTCAGCCTGCAGCCTCAAGACATTTACATGTAGACAAGAATAGGAGTAAAAATATTTATTTGCACACCGCACAACGGCTAAACGGCTTGTCCTGCTCGATGTGAAACCCGCAAGTTCGAATCACAATCCCGAACTGCACATTCACACAGCAGGGTCCACTGAAGACCAACGAGGACAAAAAAGAACATCTGCGTACGTCCTGTGCATGCAGTGAAATGGGCTGTCAGGTTATTCAATTGCAGTCTTCTTTCTCTCGTTGGTTATTTTCTATCATTTTACCCATTTGTTTGGCCAGACGCACCTTTACAACGACATCTTCCTTTGCCACACAGTGTCGGAATAATCTTGTTGGATGGAACGGCGTGCACTCGACGACTGAGAATTCCGCTGATACTGGTGGTTGCTGGCGAGGCGAGGAACTTATCTTGTTGGAATGTGAGAGGTGAAATATTTTCCTTGATATATTTTCATCGACCTTGATTTGAATATTTGGGAGATGTTTTCACACTTCAATGCGGTTTCTCTTGCCCTGTTCTATTCGTTTTGGATTTCGATAAGAAGCTTCGGCTAGTGCTATATTTCCTTTTGGCAGCTCAACGCGCGCAGAAAGTTGGTTGACGACACCAAGCCACGGCACAACTCCCTTGTCGGTCCAGCCTGCAATTGGGGTTGTTCGGCAGCCTCAACGCAAGAGATATGCGCTTTGGTCGTTTCGTTGCAAGGTTCACGAAGTCGATCGTCTCAAGGCCGAGCTTTTGTTCACTTGGCCAAGTCGGCCTCGAACCAGCTCCGAGGGTCAGGACTCAACGGGGCTAAGGGTTTGCGCTGGCAGTTGGTTCGTGGAGTCTCTGCGTAACCAAGCGGCTCTATTTAATACGGGGATTGGGGTTGGCTTGACGATGCCAGCGGAAGATCATCAGATCGAGATCACAGGATGATTGTCGAGGATTTTGGAGTGAATTTTAACTCGCGGATTCTTGTTTTTGAAGCTCTATCTGTCCATGTTTGTCCTTATCAAGTTGACAAGTTTCTTTTTCTTTTCCTATGCGCCCCTGCCTTGGAATTGGGCGTGATGAACAGGAGAGATGATTTTCGAGACCGGGCGATCATGCCCGCAGCTTGCGCATATAATTCTCCAGATATCCCGGCCGGATCAGTGAGCTTTATCTCAGGGATAACCATTGTATTATGGCTCCACATCGCTGGACCGCTTAAAAGGGTTGTCGTTTGTTTTGTGAACCTTTTTCCGCATTCTTTCCACAGCGCGGGGTACTCCCATTGCCTGAAGCGCTTATAATCCCTTCAAATACTTTCCAATCCGAAAAGAGAGCTTGGGGATAGATGCAGGTGTTAGTTTTCTCTACTTCGAATCACGTCCTGTAGTTTGAGTATCTAGTCGCATCAATTGCCCGCGCTGTTTGAAGTACGAAAAAGTTCTCTCTACTTGTCATTCCAGCCTATATTTTGGCACCATTTGCACTTCTCCAGCTTGTGGTATGTTGCTTTTTGATCTGTTTTGTGTTTATGGCTTTCTAAAACCGTCAATGAAAGCATTTGTTGTTGAAATGCAAGATTCCGTTCATGCGGAATTACTATCCCACAACATCTGACGTATATGTGCTTGGTGCAGACAGCTTTACGTCCAGTTTCCTGCTGTGCGCGCTATCCTCTCTATAGAGACCATATGACAAACTGACCCTCTTTATCAAATAGGGAGGTCACCTGGCTGATTTTGTATGACAAGCGAAATCCCAAATACCTCATTCCGCCGCGATCTACTCCATAGATGTTCGTCTGGCTGGCGGCTCGCATAAGATGCAGCGTCCAGACGGCAATTTTGCACGGTCGGGTGTACCCAGCCTTACAGAGTCGATGGGGCGGTCAGAAAACGAGATGATGGAGGTGGACATGAGACTATCAGGCTCTCTACTTGATAAACGACCTCTCAGCCGGGGCGGGCTTATCCAGAATGCTGATGGAAATATTAGCCACGACGAATTGAGCAAATACGGCCCACAATCATCAACGGCAGCAAGTAAACAGGCCAATTGCGGGAATACCCTCGAATTATTGAAGCTCCTTGACGGCCAGCACGAACCAATGCACCGTTCAGCCCCATTCCAGATAGTTGTGAAGTTAGTGGCCTCTGGGAACAAGCGACTACGATTGAACGACAACAATGAACCCAAGCCACGGAGCGAACATGAAGTCGTTGGCAGCGACGACCCTCATGGCCAGAGAGAGAAGCCCAGATCAAGGATATGGAATTCGATGTCAACAACGAAGCGGAGGAGGCCATGGAAAGGCGATTCCGAATCACAGCGTAATGAAACAGTTCGTCATGACGACCAAGTTGGCAGCCCGCAACGGCGCAAATGGATGGTGTCTGGGACGCGGAACAGAAAGAACTCCAAGGTGGTCGAGTGCGAGAACCGAGACTTTTTATATCCTGGAGTGGGCAAGCTGCCCTCTCTGCCACTTGAGAACAAGCAGGCTGATGCAGTCAATTATAAGAGCTGCAACGGGCAGAGTCCGGTTGCGAGCCCCTGCTCACAGGAGCCGCGGTCATTGGAAGAAGTTTTTTGGCAGCCAGAGAAAGCCTTCGATAATCTCAATGGCGTCGAAAGGCTCAAAGATTTCACAGCTGCCGCACTTGCAGCGGGTTTAAATAACTTAGGCGAGGAACCAAGCTCTCTAGCGCTGAGTGACTCCGGGACTAAGGGCACCACGCCAACTACGTGTGAGGGCCGCATCGCAGCTACTGGGGATAGCGGCGTTACGAACCTCCCAGAAAATTATAATAGGAATAATCATAAGTCCAACGACACACATTCTCAGAACCAACGCCCATTGCAACAGCATGCCTGTACGGAAGAAACCACAGCGCCTGGTTCATCAAGCATCAGAGCTCACCCTTCACCTCTACAGGCCAGGAATTGCTTCCCTGCCTCGAATAACACGAGTCCAGCTCCACAACTTCCACGAGCTCCTCCCGACTTAACACCAGGGCTGACTCCATCGAAAGGTACGAAGGCAAAGAAGCCGCTGACTTGTCTGCCCCCTGACACGACTCACATCAATCTTCAGTGTCTGCCTCCCAGGAGTTCTAGCAAGGGAGCTTGCCAGAAAGCATCCCTTTTCACTGCGTTCACCGATCATCGACGCCGGAGCTCTCACTCAAAGAGTCCACTGCTCCCTCGCAGCTCCTCGGATACCCAGTCGTTGATTTCCCTGTTTCCCCGTCCTGCCCGTTTTCCCCATGTGTCACACTTTGCAGCTTCGATGTCGTCAGTAGAACAAATACAGCCATTGCATACTGTGCAAACCTCAACACCAAACCACATTGGGACGGCAAAAAGCAAGGGATATCGAAGATCTGTGTCGAGAGGCTCGCCATTAGCTTCACCACCGCATCGAGAGACATCGCCGGATATGGCAAATCTGAAGGCTGTCGTTTCTACTCCATTTCCACAAATTACGGATAACTCTCAGTACCCGCCTGCACAAGCCAAGACAACAAATCTTCAAGATCACTATATTTTCACTGCCCCCGGAGAGGACCAATGCACTGGAGAGTATGCCGGACGAGGCTTAAGTCCAAGGGGATCTCTTGAGTCGAAAAAGTTACGCTGCTTGGGGATACCTGACACATCAAAGATGGACACAACAAAGCCACTGGACAAAATGAGTCGAGCCGAGCGAGTCTTTGTTTTACGAATGCGTGATATGTGTCTTGCCCGTGAGAGCCTCAAGAAAGATCACCAGCAATGTATTCCTTCGGAGGGCAGTACATCACAGGAAATTCGGTGCGATTGGGAGCTGCAAACGCGCTCCAAGAAAGCGCGTGGTAAACCGACGGATATGCCAACTACCCCCCCAAAAGTCTACCGAAACGATGCTCCAGGCGCTCCTCCGAGTATTCCCTTGCCTGCGGATCCACCAGTGCCGTCGCTGCGATCCTCATCTAATAAGATAGTTTTAAACCCGAATCAACCTACCCTCCAGTCACTATCTAACACATCGCTGGACGCAGCCCTCGCCCACAAATTCGACGCACGCTTGTCTGCAAGTTCAAGCGGAAGTACACATAGAAGCGATGGCAATAAAAGCTGGTCGAGTAGAAGCGCTCATTCAGGTAACCATATCTCTAAGCAAAACCATGCTACCAATTTAGAGCAGCACACATTCGGCTCCCAGCGTGACGGCCCACGAGAAGAGATCGCAATAGCATTCGACCCTCGTCCTCTGACCCCGCTGTCTCCCACAATGTCCGACGAAGCGCATACTGGCATTTCACCAAATTGTGGAAATTGCGTCTCCTGTCCGCACCTGAGAGCCAACCCAAGTCCGACAAACAAGAACCGCCAAAACACATTCTTCTATAAAGAAAATCGGTCCGAACCCCGCCCAAACAATGCCCCAGTATCACAGTCCCCCCTCCGCGAATGCTTCCCTCGGGATAGCTCACGTCCATATAGCCCAAGTCTGCAACATTTCAGCAATACCAATACCTACAGTAACAGAACTGGCGCTGGCGCCGGCGCCAGCGCCAGCAACAACACTCACACAACCTCATCCCCACAACCACCATCGTCACGGCCCCGGTCACAAGAAATCCCTATGCACCCACAATGCGAAGCCCGCATCACCTTCCTTGAACGGCAGAACAAAATGCTTCAGGCAGCCCTCATCGCAGCTCTAGATGTTGGCGTCACCTTCGATGCGGACCTCATGCGTACTGTCACCTCCACACCTCCTGTCAGCATCGCCTCTCCAGGAAGTGAAACCAAAAACAAAAATGTCTTTCGCCATTCATACACCAGCACATCTACAACCGGAACAACGAGTACGACTACAAGCGCTCAACGGCTGAGCATGGATGGTCGTCGATCGTACGTTAGTGATAATAGTGTCGAGTCTGCCACCAATGTGGTTAGATGGCGGAGCGTACGGGATGCGCATCCTTGAGACAACTAACTATCAAAATCGTGGAGGGGAGCGAAAGCTGGTTTCCTGTGGGGAGTACCCGAGGACAGAATACAATGCACCATTCTTCCTGTTCACATTCGTGTCGCTACAGGCCTTTTGAATGGAATGAATTATTTATCCTTGACTGGATTAGATATGTTTGATATGTCGTTGGTGTTATGGAATTTTGATTTCCTTTTAATTTTTGACTCTTTTATTCTCGAGAATGTGTTTTTTATAGCGAATACCAATATACCATATGATGGTTTGCTGCTTCAATGAGATCTTACGTTGTTCTTTCTAATAATACTTTTTCTGTTCCCTTCCACTTTGATACCCCTGCTTTAGCTTGCTGCGCGATTGAGAATGATCGGAAAGTTGAAACATTAGGGTATACCACTGTAAATCAGTTGAGCTCGTACAATGTCCGTTCACATTGGCGTTGGGTGTTGATGTCAGAAATGGAAAGGTAGAAGGCGACTACAATTTCGATTCAACGAAGTTTTCGAACCCACGAAGGAGGATCAGTGGTCTGTCGCTGAAAACTCGTATACTCAAAACGACAACTTTATATCCCGTAGGCGCCCGTAAGGACCGAATTCCGTAATCTTTCTTGCTTTTGTATGTAATCTGCAGTTCACTCCCAAGAGAGACCCCAGGTAACTTCGCCCTTTCTAAATGGAACCACATCCGTCTTCTCCGATTTTAACAAGTCCAAAAATTTCCCTTTCTCCTTGGACAACTTAAAAAATTCCTTCTCTTCCTGGGGAACTTCATAAAATTCCCTTCCAAACTTCCCCAGAAACCCTTCTAATATGTCCTTAGAAATGTCCGCCTCCTTCAATGACCCCCTCTCACACCCTTGTTCAAGCGCATCTAGCACATACTGCGTCGCATAGGGCTGCGTAAACACTCCCGCGGCAATCTTATCCCCGCCCCTCTTAGATGCTGCAGGATGCGGCGCACTATCTGAGCCAAAAAAAAACTTCTTATTCCCCGACGTCGCTGCTTTCAACAACGCATCCCGATCCGCCACCAGCTTTGCCACGGGCTTGCAGAAGCAGAACGGGTCGCCCAGCGCATTATCTACGATAAGCGACAGATGGTGCGCCGTGATGGTACCCACAACGGTAGGACCGCATTTCTTTACGGTTTCGACCGCTGCGGCTGTGCTCAGGTGCTCGACAACAATGCGGAGGCGTGGAAAGCGTGAATGTAGGTCTAATAGTGTGGGAAGGAAGCGTTCTTCAGCGGACATGACGGTGATGTCCCCGTGAGAGGGGCATTCGCCATGTAAGTTCAGAATTAGGCGCTGACGCTCCATCTCGGCAAATACAGGGTAAAATGCAGCGTAGTCGATGACGCCTGAGTCGGAATTTGTTGTTACGCCTGCCGGGTAAGATTTTACGCCGATTATACCATTCTTCTTGGCTTCGATTATGGTTTCGGGTGTGATTGAAGGGTGGAGGTAGAGCGACATTAGGTAAGTGACGCGGGGCTCGAGCGCTTGGAGGCGTCTTTTGTAGGAGAGAGCTTGCGCGACGGTGGTTATTGGAGGGACGAGATTGGGCTTTGTATAGAAATTTATTTAGTATGTTGCGTAACATGGGTCAATTTTCTTGTAGGAAACGGGGGGAGAAGAGATTACCTTACCATGACATAGACTGTGTTGACCCCTCCCTGTCTGATGGTGGGGACGACAAGCTCCATCATATCACCATCCCGCAGATGTACTGTTTTATTTATCCCATTGGATCGTTGTCATGATTCGATCTTTTGTGGAATGAATGTGCTTCCCGATATATGGCTTCTGGTGGTGGGGTAGGTTAAGTGACATACCGTGGAAATCTGCGGACGCGGGAAGTTTGACCCCGTCGATCCCGGAGAGAGGCATGGTTTTCTAAATACTAAGGATAATATTGAAACCTACTAGGGAACAAAGGGAGATGGTGGAGGAAGAGAGGGGACGAAAGGCGGGCTGGAAGATTTTGTTTCGGATTTTTGAAGCAGAAAATGCGGGAGATTGATAAGAACCTAAATTTTTATCCAGGAAATTTTTGACTTCCGGCTATTTCGTTGAGTTAGCTAAAGGAGATCCCGAAATTAATTGCCTCCTATGAGCCGAGTCCAACATTGCGAAATTGGGAGCTTTGCACGATAAATATGTATTGGCTTTGTCAATCCCATTATCTCCCTGTGAATTGCTATTGAATTATGAATAAATCGCATCAGTGTCTCTGCTGAACCTGTGCCCTTCGAGTTGATCCTTATCAAAATTATATACATTATATCAATGCCTCAAAAAATAAAATAAAATAAAACAAAACAAAATAAAAATGAAAATGAAAATGAAAAAACACTCTGTTGCGGCTGTCAATCTTTAAAATCAGTTCTCTCGCGATTTTCGTTGGCTTCTCACTCAAAGTAATGGGCATATGGGCTCAACCCTTCAACAACCTGGACAAAGTGCTGCGCAATGATTCTATCCGTTTGCTCTGAGGGATGTATGGCATCATACCACATATAAGAGTCTCGGCTGGGCTGTTCTATGCAATTCTGTCCTTGGGCATCACATTGCTTCACCCAGGACTGCACGTTGGGCGGTTCGGTTCCATTGAAGTATTGGGCTGGGTGATCATAGATATTCGTAAGCTAGTTGGGTGATTAATTTGTAAGTGAGAGTTGCGGCAGAACGCTCAAACTATGATTGGTGATGGTGCAGATATGGGCTGGAGGAGTTTTTCAGGAGATATTCTTCCTGAGAAAGAAATGGACGTACCAATGAATGAGTATCAAAGAGAGCAACACTCGCCCCCTTATACCGATGCCGCATCGAACCCTCCATCTTCAGCCTTATAATCTCATTCACAGCCACAACAGTTTGTCTCATCCGACATGAAACTTCAGTACTATTCGCTGGCTTATCCGGCCAGAACGTGGATGTCTCCACCCCACCCATCTCCGGCAAAGCATACAGTGGCAACAAATTCAATGGCGGCACATTCATGAGTACAAAGTACCGGGCACCATAGTCATAGAGCCGTTCAATTGAACGGAAAATGCACTCGACGTAATCCAGGAGTGTCTTGCCAGCCACTTGCGCATCGTCTATGAACGCCCCGTTGCCTAGGTCATTTGTGCCAATCCAAATGGCATATACAGTATTACTCCGGGTGAGAGTTAAGACTGGTTGCCCTGTTTGCGGATCTCGATAGTTCGCATCGGCAAGAAAAGTAGGGATTTCGTATTGGTCAATGGAAGGGAAGATGCCATTGATGAGGCCGAAGTACCGTGGCGTGATGCAGTTAGAGCACGTTGCGCCACTGACCGCGTAGTTGTAGAGCTCTGCACCTGTGTAATCGCTCACATAACGAGCCCAAATGCGGCCACCGCTGGAGGTAACGTCGTTCTATTTTTACCGCAGACACGACTGATAAGTCATTGGTTGCCTTATGAAGTAGATAAAGAAAAAGAGAATGTGCTCATCAAAGCACGGACATCTCGACATTTTTGGCTGGGGCAACTTTCAATAAGTTGAACAAAAGCAATCTTATTTTGGCCTGAAATGGCCAACCCGGCACATCGTTATAAAGGATTAAAACCAAAAAAGTCAAATTTTCTTAGGGCAAACAAACAATAGAGAAACAAAAGGTAATGTAAGAAGTAGTATTTACCTCTGGCGCTATCCACCCAATGGGAGGAGCCTCCTGATTCAGAACAAAATACAGGAGCCTCGACTCGTCTGTATAACTATTTCCAAACGTGACTAATTGGTCCATATGCCTCAGCTTCCACGCAGAATGTCCAATTCCCAAGACATTCTGCGCACTCAACGCAAGAAGTAGTCCTAGTCCAGATAGCATCGTGCCAGTTCTATCAATCATTCAGTGATCCAAAGAGGTAACTAGGAGAATGGCACAGAGTCGACGGCAAGGGACATATATAACGGGTGCGAAAGATGAAGGGGCCTGGAGTGCATCTTCCGACAATTCACCAGCCAGAAGGGATCCTCCAGTCAACTTTATAGGCATGGCCTGTGAGAGGAGTTTGAGATATTCCCTTGTCTTCGCATTCCGCATTAAGGCACCTACTCATGAACAACGAAACAAGTTCACCGCAAACAGGCGTCAGTGTGTCCTTGCTGCTCCTCAAGCGCCGGGGATATAGATTGACTCCATGGAGTTCAACAGCTCTTCCATCTAAAGCTTCTTCGCATTGCTGGAGGGCACGACCGAATTTGAGGACGATAGAGCGCCACGATGTTTGCGGCGTTTAACAGGCTGGGTGCGGCCCGCGCCGTGAGAAATGGAGCCGTTGCTCTTTCACTTTTCCTCTTAGCTCATTCTTAGCACGAACAGATCAGAACTTGCCGTTGGCTATTAATGGCTTATACAAGAGCACCCAAAAAGCCACTGTTGTTTGTCTTTGCATTTCTAGCCGACGCGTGAGAAGTCTTGGCCAAGCGAACTGCAGCACTAATATTATCCCGGGGTCTTAAAAGAGAGCTCAGGGAGAACAGCATCTGCAACAATTTGAATTAGCCCTGGTTGATTATTATTCGAAACAAGCTGGCTTACAGAATAAAGGAAAAACCACAGAGATTCACGCGACGTAAAGTCTTTCATGGCCGAAAACATCCAGAGAAACAAAAGCCGTCGAATTTTATTGTTTAAAAATGGAAATCCTGAAATTCTGCTGCTGAACTGCGCCCGTGCGCCACAACTCCAGGCTATACATCCTCAAAGCTACTCAAATATAGAAGACTGAAATCAAGGTTGTACTGGATTAAGATATCATATCAAATTCGCCATACCTGCAACATGTTCCCACACATTTGATTCGGCAAACGAATCAAAAGTCAACAAAGGTGGCACGATTCCAGACATTTGCCCTTCAGACGCTTTTATCTAGGTTTATGCCCTTGTTCGTCGGTTAAGCGTGTCACCGAGCTTTTGATCTACTAAAGAAGCCTTTCTTCAAACACTGGTAAGAGCTGCCAATCATCGTGCCAAGCGCAAATGTGTCCGAAGCCGTTCGATCTATGGGGTTGTTTACTACGTGCTGCTCTGCGACGGTCCGATGGCTGTTGGTCGAGAGGCGTCCAAATATGCCCTTGTCGAGTTGTTTATGCGATCTCTCAAAAAGGGCCGTCATCGTCGTTGTGGTTGTTGTGGATGTTACCGCCGTTACCGTGGTTTCCGTGGCCATCGTCGTCTGGGTATAATTATAACAGACATCGTCCAGGTATCGCAATTGTTCGAACTGGGCTCTGAGAAGGAAGACATATTGCTGTAGTTTTGTAATATATTTACATGACTTCACGGAGCTTGAATCGGTGGAACGGCTGCCTAGTATGTCCACACTCTGACAGCTGGTACAGCATAGCGCATAGCTGTCGCCAGGCGGACTGATTAAAACTAAATTCGTATTCTGCGGAGTTTCGCAAGTGTCGCAGTGAACACATGAGCCTTTGCATGTTAAATGTTGGCGCCGTAGATATCCATCCCAGCTGACGCATTCAGCGCTGATTGGGCTGTTGCAGACGTGGCACAGTTCTACATCAGCCCTGTTAAGTTCTGTTTCTGTGAAGCTCATTGTTGGTGGAAGGTCATTTGGGAATTTGTCGAGAGAGCTGAGATATTCGGGGGCAGCTGATAGATCAACATCAGCAGCGCCTTCCCCGAGAATCTTGATGACCTTTTTCATAAAATACGATAAACCTGAGCTTGCCGCATATATCTCCTTCAGGTGGCTTGAAATGGTCCTTGGCTGGTGGCTTTTAGACAGAGACACGGTCATCAAGTCTGTCAGCTTCGCCCGCAGCAGGTCTATCTCGGGGCTGTCGGAAAGGACTAATACGGTTAATCATCTTGCAGTGGCTGAAATTGGTGTACACACACTTACTGGTTTTCCCAGTCTTTCTTCTGACATCGTCCACAATGTCAATTGAGGCAAAGAGAACTCCAAGCGCAATTATCAAAGTTAGGATGCCCTCCGATATCTTCTCATGAGAACCGGATTCGAGGTGCTCGAGATTATCGCTTATACACGACGTAACCGTTGACTCAAAGTTATTTAGGATGCTCTCCATTCTATGGGAGGCGGATTCGTCATCCTGTTCTTCCACGACGGGAATGTGGTCCAGCGACGATCCCGGGTTGTGACGTTTATGAGTCTTATAACAGCGTTCATGCCAAACTCGCTTTGTCGGCATATAAACCTTTATATACTGATCCATAATAGCCATTCCGCAACCATAACAGCGGTCTGCATATTTTGCCATGTAGTCGTTCTTGCAATATGCCTTTCCTCGATGTATGTAGTAATTATCCCCAGGGCCAATGACATGCTGACAGGAATGACAGGTGAAATGATCCATGTGGTACTTGCGCCCAACGGCACTGATATATAAATCTCGCAAGGCACCACCACATTCGCTGCATAGCATATCTAAACGTCGGAAGATGTCGTTTTCGCAGAGAGGAACTGGGCCGTTTCGCTCTTGGACCGGGAAGAATTCGCGATATATGGGTCTGTGGCAGTCCTGATAAATCATTTCGTTAAAAAACAGAAGTGATTAACAATGATGTAAAAAGCTTACATGGCACTTGAAACACTGAGGATGATACAAGTCTCCAAAAGCCGAGATGCATTCGCTGGCTATGGTCATTCCACACTTCACACAGCTGTCCAACGCCGTTGGCTTTGAATATGCTGAACCATGACTGTTGGCTCTGGCGTGAAGCCATCCTTTTGTTGCCATATTTTCCTGCCTGCCACAGCCTTAAGAATGGTCATAAATATATTCTTATCAACACAAAAACCCACTTCGAAATTGTTCGTTGAACTGTGATGGGGTCCTTTCCGAGAAGAAGACTCGAGTTGACCTGGATTAGTTATGGGCCACTATTCCAGGATATAATCGTCTCGAGGCGGAGAGCAATTACGATTCCTCCCTGCGGCGGAGCTCTGTGTGCTGAAATATCCCTGAACTGCGCATCCAGAGACTTCCATACCGCCTCGAGCACAAGTCACGATGCGCGATGACTGCACACACACTCTGGGCGGACGATCAGGGTTGGACAGGGCCAGAATGTCAATGGCTTCACAAGGCAGACCGGTATTTGTCCGCATTTTACTGGGCTAATGTCTCTCGCGGGGTTGGATTCACTCAAAACCACTTGAACCCAACCTTGCAGGAGCGGGTTTAATCAACCCGAATCTTGGTATCCTACAGCTGCTCCCCACAGCTCGCAGCCATAAAAGTGGAAGCGAGCCAACAGGGCATCCGCAATTGAAACCTGGCGGAAGTTCCTCCAATCCAGCTACTAAATTTGTAACCAAGTTCATCAAATGTGATCTGTGATTAACCTTGTAGTATTGATGGGACCAAGCCATATTTTGGTAAATCGGCCAATGGCCAGCCATAACGGTTGATTCTCGTTGCTCCTCCGTGGGATGATACTGGCCTCCTTCATTCGGTCCAGGGGGCCTGTGCAGCGATCATGCAGCTAACAAGTACTAGCGGCTCGGCGCAGAATCTGGGGTGTTAGCCACAGCAGACAAAGGGATCCAAAGACACAGCTCGCCATGCTTGGAAAGAGATGATATTGAATGCATAAGTGAAATATTTAGATGTGTACGGAGTAGCAAGCGGCACATTAGGTACTTACAAATCCCAAAAGGAAAAGCATATAAGAGATATATGAAGGCGAAGCGGGCGCAAATTCACATGCAGGACAAATCGCAAGCCGCCACTTTGGAGTTAGAGTTCATCCGCCAATATAGTAAAAAGGGCAAGGAAAGAGAGAGAGAGAGAGAGAGAGAGAGAGAGGAAACGTGTAGAATTGAGAACAAGTTTATGTGAAATCTATTAGGCTTTCGCGTCATGGAGTTGGAATGAACAAGTAATAGATAGGAGAGAGAAATTCATACGATGAAACTGGTTTATGCAGGCATTTGCTTGAGAACCCATCAGAATGTCCAAAAAATTTAAAAGTACGAGGATGTGATGGCGCAAGGAGGAAAAAATAAGCCTAGATCCCATGTATAATGTGCAGAGACGAGAGATAACCCTCAAGGAATTCATCAGAAACTGAGGGAGCTGGATGTAATATTGTAATTCTGGGAGGAGATGGCCTGGGTTGTCGATCATCTTCGACTTCATAATATAGAATAAGGAATGTAAAGTTACAATCGAGAGGCAGAGCTGATGGCTGTACTTGCCAGCTCTGGTTCCGCGCTGCTGGTATCAACTCCATCATGGTCCGTCAACTGCGGATGCTGATGCTGCTGCTGTAGCCGCTGCCGCTGCCGCTGCACTTTGTATTGTTTCTCAAAACCATGAGCATTCTTCGCAATCGGAGGAGTCACCGAAGCAGGCGCAGAAGCAGCAACCCTCTGTCGAAGTCTCTTCAACCTCTCCACACGAGTCTCACCAGCCAACCCCGTCCAGAGGGGGCCAACAAAATCAGAACGCCAATCAGTCCGATTAGCCGCACGCCTATCACTCCTGAGCCCCAGGGCACCAATACTACGGTCATGCAACCCTGCCTCCCCCCACATCCGTACACGCTGCACTTTCCGTAGTTTCATGAGCCCATATGCGCACACGAAGGCGGTAAAGGCGAAGCAGACACCGGACACGGCGGTGAAACCTATGTCGGATTCTTCTAGGAAGTTTTTTAAGTTCATGCCATAGAGTGCGGAGCAAAGGGTTCCGGCTGCTAAGCCGAGGGTGCCGATGCTAAATTTGAGATCGAGGAGCATGAGGGAGTTGCGGTTGGCGTCGAGGATTGCTTTCACACTGGAGGAATAGGTAACAATATTAGCGTTTTGTAGTTTGATGGAGATGTGAAGATTGTGGGGCTAAAGTCATACATTTCCTCCGTGTTTCGAATGTTGGTAACTAGATTTCCACTGGCCTGAACGATTTCATCGCAGACTTTGTGATAGGACTCAAGCAGCATTTCAATCTCTTGATGATCGACCTCCTGCCTATGCACGCCTTGCGCTTTTTCTGATAAATACATTGCCGTCAAGTCATCATCAGCTTCCAGCAGATCCTCAATCGCATCGCGCACTAGTCTAGCTTTCTGCTCGAACGTGCCCAACCTCTTGGAGTATATCAAGAGGCGCCGTAACTTGTCTCTGTCTATATCCTCTTCCAGAGCCCGAAGAACACGCACAACAGGCTCCCTTACTCCTTCAAACTCAGCCTCAAGTCCAGTGGTCACGCTGACCAGAACCGCTTCCAGAGCGCGGAATTCGTATGGAAGAGCGCCAGGTGAGAACTGCCGGCCTGTCGCCTCTTTCTGACGTAGTTTGCCTTCCAGATCATACATGAATACCGATTGTGTGTACGAGTCAGTCGAGCCGTACGCATCAAATACCAAAACCCGGTCTGACTTTATCAGAACCCGGAGATGTAGAAGGCTGATTAAAATAGCACTGTGGCGGACAAGAATATGTGGAAGGACGGAGGAGTCGATCTTACGAAGATCGCGGGGAAGCAGGCCGTACTGTATCCATTCACATCGAACGGAAGTTAGCTCATCCACTTGGCACCCTCCATGGCAATAATAGAATCCGTACCTTAGCAGTCAATTCACTCTTCTTAAACTCCCCACTAACAAGCGTCACATTTCCATTCTCATCCAGCTCCGTGCATCTCAACCGCGGCTCATTCATGGCTTTCATCGCCAACGATCGGCCTGTCACAAACATGTTCCCTTCATGCCCATCCTCCATCACAGGGCCAATAGGCAAATCACTCGGCCACAACTCGCGTCTGTCATCACGTTCAGATACTCGTAGACCAAACAACCGTCGCATAAAACCCTGGGCCCGCCCCTTTCTCCTCGCTGTACCACTGAAAGCTTGCAGATAGCCATATCCCCCACGCCAGTTCAGGCTATTCAGCGCTGCTCGCGGAGCTGCAGCCGACGCAAGAGCTACCGATGATATTGCTGATAATGAGGATGGGTTATTTGTTGACCTTGCTGGGTGCGCGGTGAGGAAAGGGAAGAGAGAAGCTTCGAGGGTTGCGGAGCACGGCTGATTGTGCAGCCCATTTGTTTGAATGTTATGCTTATATTCGTCGAGTGACCGTTGTTGAAATGCGGAAAGTGTATATCTTCTTTGGGATTGAGCTTGGGATCGGAAACGCCATGGGCATGCTGGCGGAAGCGAATGCGGATGCGCAACGGGCGGGGTGTTGGGGGAGAAGAAGTAATGGTGTGCAGAGGTTTCGGACTGGGAACGGAGGAACCGGAGCAGATTCGCGGACGGAACTGAGGGCTTGAGGGTAGATGATGGGGCGACCATCTCTCAACCTCATATGAGGATCTTTCTGGTTTGCAAACAAAGTAATAACAGCCCGACCGCTTACTCCCTGCTGCTTATTTTTCAGGAATGGATGTTCGATCTTACTATGGTAGTTTTTTGTCGGAGGTCGGCTGAATGTTTATCCGCCCGATTTATTTATATATATATTTTTTTTTAACTCAAATCAAGAAACATGGTGCTATAAAAGATGAGATCTCTATATTGTGGAGGAAAACACTGCTGAAAAAGTCATTCATCTTATTCTCTTCAGAAATTCACTGAATCTTCAGCTCTTGAGATCTGTATTGAATTGAACTTGATCAATTTATACAGCTCTTGGGAAGAATTAGCTGATAATATCTTTCCAGTAGATGTATAAATCTCTTAGAAAGAGATGATCTACATGCAGAAGAGACTAGAAGAATATACAGATGAAGCGAGACAGTATATCTGTAAATTAAATGGATTTGACTGTGCGGTAATGCTCACAGACACCAAGACCCTATTTTTGTATTGTATTCCTGGAGTCGACGATCAAAACCCATCGGGTACTCCGTACAGTGCAAACCGATAGTAATAATTAGGCCAATCCACAATCCAATAAGGGAACCATGCAGCCCACTTCACTCTTATCGTCGGTTCCCCCGTCAGATGATTCATGGAGTACTTTGTAAAGAGATGAGTCAAAATCAACTAGGCTTTAGCAGGTTTTGAAAGGGGTTGATATTTCTATCTTCTCAAGTGTCAATGCTCCCACCAAGCTCGGGGAAATAAATAACTATAGAATCTGCAACGTCCCACTATATGAAACCAAGCAATGCCCCACTGATGCTCAGTAATATCTCATGTGTATATTTAAGCACAGATTTCCCTATAAATACTGTCTTATTATCATGTAATTATTAAGAGTTAGAATAAGCAATTCAATCTATTTTATTGATATTCAGTATTTGGGGCAATATTCGGACTTAGTCAGTTCCGACAGCACAGCCGAACGGAGCCCTACTTCCATCAGGGATAGCAACCTAAAATCCCCAGCCAGAGCAAAGTCGCCTCTGCCAATATCGCCTTCAGGGTTCTTTGTCTGCATCAGAGTGGCATTGGCCATACATTCCGCGTGAAACTGGCATAGAAGCTGTCTTGAACCCTACCATACGCCGTCACTCCTGGATTTGCCCGATTTTTTGCTTGAGGAGGTGATTGAAATGGCCACCCGTTCTTTCAACTTCAGTGTTACCTATTGCAGCACACCCCAGATGGACAGAGTGATAAATGGACGTTTTTCAGTTTCTCTCGCACTGTTGCTTACCTCCCGCCGCGTAAACGCGCTTACGGCTCGTATTCTCCTTCTCAGAGGCAACTTTCGCGTCTACACGGTCCGAGACCTTCAGCGATTGTTTGATATGCTTGAGCATGGAAAGCTGAGTTTCGTGAGGCGAATTCATATATCACTAAGCAACATCGATTCGGACAAAGATTTCGCTGAAGACACTGTGGCGGCTGAAAATGCTTTCGAGCGATGTATCTCGCTCATAAATCGTCTGTCTTCAAATTTACGTGAGCTTCGCCTGCACCGATCAATTTTCGACAAGCACTCCTTCTGGGACACGAATCCCGCAGAGTGCAACCGAGTCCATAGAATCTTTGCGGAAGCTTTACAGCGGTTTTAGTGACTTAGAGACACTTGTCTTTTCTTTTGGCCCCCACTCACTACCTCTTTTTCTCCTCTTCTCTCCCCACGGCCCCATCGTGGAGAGTGGGGCAACTGGTTATGCCTCTATTCCAGAGAGACCAATGTTTCCTAGACTCCAAGCCCTACATTTGTACGTCTGTCTTCCGGCACACACTAGATCCCAGCATCTGATTGAAGTACTCTCAGAGCGAAATTTGCCTGCTCTCTTAGAGCTGAATTTCTGCTATATACTCCACCACCCTCAATCTAATGACGGGTTTGAATGGATTTTGACGCCTGAAGTGATTCTGAATATTCATCCACTCGTCGAATTTCGTTGGGTTACTGGCTGTGATGCCCGCGGCATTGGCAACTCTGTTCCCCATCCTCCACCTACAAAAGACCATTTGGAAGCACTGCAGAAAAAACATGGCCACACTCTGCGGTGGTTGATCATGCAGTATGGCTATTGGCTTCGCGAAATCAGCGAACCGGCTACTTTTGTGTTCACTGCCGATGATGTTGAAACTTTCCTAAGAGATCTTGATCTTGAGGGTGTGGTCATCACGGTTCCACACATAAATCTATGCCTAGTACGAAGTTGTCCACCCCAAAATCGAAGCTAGAAGCCCTTCGTTCTGTAGAGATCAACAGGTAGATCCGATGGAAACCAAATCTAGCACAGCTGATCAGGCGGCTTCTATTATTCTTTGAAGCATCAAGAAAAAAAGATACAAGATTTAAGACGTAATTGCTCATTGCGGAAATTAACGCCATTCCTCCTCCCACTTTCTTAGGCCATCCTAATGCTTGCATTTGAGAGACAAGCATCATTTTCTTAAATGACAAGCGGAATCTTGTTCATGTTTGCCAGCCATAACCCATTGTCCTGTAACTAAAAGTGGATTTGATCGCCAACTTTTAAACTTAATCACTACCATCTCCACGCCATCTCCATGCCACAAAGAATGGTACTTTTTGGCGCCCATAATTACGTGGAACAGGCAGGCTGTGGAACGCTATCACCCGGAGATTTCTTAGAATATTCATAAAGCAGCAAGGGAGTTAGATTCTCAAATTCCAACTATGGTGACAGTATAAGATCGGGCAATGATATAATTTTCTGGGACAAACAATGACTAAACATATGGTTTTTCGAGATACCTAGTCTATCTGTTTTCCCATTCAGGTACTCCGTACTGCATTACTCCGTAGAGCCAAGCTGGATGGTCCCTTCGACCGTAATTTTCTCGTTGATTATATATATACCAGCATTCAGTCCCTGCGATTTAATCGTCTCTTGCAGATGCCATATATTATAAGTTAACTACTGACGAATTCTGTTTGCTTCCCATCTCACCTGCTGCTGTTCGGCTGCCTTAAATTCAAAGCCATCTGCGCCATCCGCACCTTCGCAGCATTAATCTGCCAGTCAAACTTTTGGATAAACAACTGGGGTTGGGTTAAATATGGGAGATCTTTCTGTGTTTGCCGGACAACTAACTACCGTGCTCGAACAGAGGAGTGCCTTTAAATCTGTCCTTCCGAAGGTTTTCGGTTAAAAATTGACAATGATGAATGTTCTGTCTGACAGTAGTATTTGAGTCGTAGAGGAGTAAATAAATCTTCACTGAATTACATAGCCTCAACGAACATGCCTATAGATTCCCTGTCCTAGAGAGTTGCAATAAAATCCTATATATAGAGAAGCTGCGATGGACAACAGCAGCTTCCGTGTGGCACATAAATCAAATCACAAACTGGATATACACTCCATCTCGCTTTCCCTCACCGTAAATATCGTTTACAAAACAAGCGCCACGGCTGCCAGGGCAGCGCCGCCGACAACACCCCAGTTGGCAGCAGCGGTGACCAGAGGCATTGCAGCTGAACCGGCGCTGGTACTGGAGGAGGGCGCATTGGTCCCAGTAGTGGGTGGAGCACTGTCGGTCTGCGTAACACTTCCAGTCTGCGTGGCTCTTGCACTGGCGGATGGTGCTGGGGTGGCGGAAACGCCTTCCAGCTTCTCCAGGCCTGCTGTAATCGTGACCCTCCAGGTAGTGATAAAGCGAGCCGTGGGGACTTGGGTAGTTGCCGAAGACCTGGTGGACCATACTCCGTCTGGCTGAGAAGTTTTTATGATCATCGTACAGTCGGCCGATGCACCTGGGATTTTGCATTTGAGGGAATAGTGTTCCGAGCTGCGCGAAATTATAAGTTATGTTTTTTTTTCTCTCTCTTTTCTCGTAGGGAGGGGGAAAGGGATGGCGGAAAGGGATACGGAATGGAGAGAAGTATGAAGGACTTACCCATCTTCATCTTCACCAGAGCCCGGGAACTCTATTGCCACTATCCTTGGTGGTATATGGGTGTAGGTTATGCTTGGTGCGCCACACTCGGTTTCGTCGGCTTCTTCGGCGCACTGCAGATGGAGTACGGTCTCGGTTTGGTCCTAAAACAAGAGGAAAAATAATATTAGCCTTGGTTTCAGTTCTCCCTCTGCTTAGTCCGCCAAAATATATATCCAGGCTACTCCCTACAGTTCATTCATCTTACCGCCTTGACCACAGAGGCCACAATGGGCTGCGGGTCCACTATAGCAGGAAACGTCAGATCCGTCACGATGCTCTTTTTTTGGGCACGGCTCAGGCCAACAAGGCCGAGCGATATCGCAGCCAAGGAGATGTGCATTTTTCCGGGGATAGAGGATTTGAAATGTGAAGATAGATCCAGGCGCTAGAAATATCGAACACAAAATCGAAAAATGAGCGACGATGAAGTTGGTTCAAAAGAGTGGAAAGTTTGTTCGTCCTCTCTCTTTTTTTTTTTTTTTTTTTTGGGTGTTTTAAGGGGAGACCAAAATATATATAGGGGGACAAAATGGACTGGTCCCCCCTGTTGATCTCTTATTAACGATCGAAATCGCATAAATACGAGGCTCGTATTAGAATGCTAGAGGTGATGGAGCCTAACATAGAACTCAATCGGGATAGCCGATTGATGGGGGGAAATTGACGCCGGGGCCTACTGCTTCGAAGCCCGCTAGAGTGTGGTTGAAAAAACCATTTAGCCTGAGAAGGCTTAGCAACGGTCCGAACAACAAGAGAAATCTCTTCATCAAGGCCCAATTATGCTTTGTCTGTCAACAGCTGTTGCGTTCGAGAGGGTCTCTTGGTTTTAGTTCCGGAGTTACTCAATTCCCGAGGAACGCTCCATGTAGCATCTACTTTGCGGAAATTGGCTGAGTTTTCACCCTCAAATTCCAGGTTGTTGATTATATCTGGCAGGTTGTCGTCCCTTGAATTCTGGCGTTCTGCCAATTCTACACACCGCGGAAGGTGAGGGAGAAATGAAGTCAGTACCAGTATCAAGGGGATAAAACATCCGAGTCGGGTTCGGATAGAGTTATCCGGTACCTTTTTTAAGCTTGGGAGCCCTGCAAGATGAACTGCTCTGATTGGCGCAGCAAGACGCTTACGGGGTTTGGATTGGTTTGTCCCCTCTAATCTCTGCTGCCATAACCCTCCACCACCAGCAGGGAGTTGTTGAAAAAAAAAAAAAAAAAAGAAGGAAAAAAAGAAACAAAAACCGACTCCAATCCTGATTGCGCTCAGTGCTTGATATATGGAGTAACTGCTCTGTATTCGGCTTCGTTTGTCGTTTGCAGTTGGATCTTTAAAAACTTATATCTTCTATCAGTCGGAACCAGCCAAAGTTAGCACTCTCCACTCCCAACGCGAGCCTAGTATTGGATTTATTATTATTGATTTTACAATTTTGGAATCTATTGCTTTTTTCTTTTTTCTTTTTTCTTTTTCTTTCTTTTTTTTTTTTAAATGAAGTGGCATTGTTTATATAACCAACCAACCATTTCGGCTGACTGCTTCAACTCCGTTGCAGCATGCTCCATAGCTAGGTCAAGCTGCCCTTCCTCACCCAAGCCTCAGTCAGGAAAGGTGATTAGAGCAGCCTGCCTCCATCGCTAATCCAGGACAAGTGGCAATGAAAGCATTTTCGCGAAATCTCTAGTTATTTTACCTTGATTATAAAACTTAATTTAACTCGCCAGTATATAGAATGGCATCCCTTAATCAAGAAGGCTATTTTATCCCTAGGCAAGACAGCGAAAAAAAGGCGCGCAAAAAGGTTACCAAATGCCTGTGTCCCAGGCAGACGGTCTTAACAGTATTGTATGACATTGCTACCGCTGAATCAACAAAACAGGAAGGCTGGCAGCAAATGGATCCATAAGGATGACCATGAGGACTAATACCAGGATCAAAACAAAGATCAAAACCACGCTCACCACTCATTATCGGACTTTTCATCATCTGCAAATTTGTTAGTTTTTATTTTATTTTATTTTATTTTTCTAGATCCTTCAGGCGAAGGGATTAGAGGTAGACTGGGGAGTCAAATAAAGAAGGACAAAGGCAAAGAGATAGAAGACATACCACTACCGCTAACTTTCTGCTTCCGCTTATTCAATGCCGCTTGAAGAGACCCCAGCATCGAATTTGGATCTGCGCTCCCCGCGCCTGACGCTGGTGAGGAAGGAGTTTCGCTGCTTGCACCTGGAACCACAGCAGCGCTTCGATCTCGTTTCTCGCTGTCTTTGACTTTTCGAAGACCTGTTCCTGCACGGATTGAAGCTAGAAGATCGGCGTTCCCTGGTGATTTGGGAAGGGACGACGGGCGTGCTGATGACGCTGGCGGCGGCGGCGGCGGAGGACCAGCGCTGTTAGCTGCGGAACCTGGCGGCGGCGGCGGAGGAGGAGGAGGAGGCGCACCAGCAGATGGAGGAGGTGGGGGTGGAGGGGCGCCTGCAGAGGGCGGAGGAGGTGGAGGGACACTATTTGAAGGTGCAGGACGGGGAGGAGGGCGAGGAAGACCAGCAGTCGGAGGCGGGGGCGGGGGCGGGGGCGGGGCAGGTCCAGTGCTAGCGGGAGCTGGAGCTGGAGGCGGAGGTGGAGGTGGAGGTGGCGTGGGGCTCGATGACGGTACTGGTCCTGGTGCAGGAGCCGGAGGCGGAGGAGGCGGCGGTGCCGGAGCTGATGTGGGCGGCGGTGCAGGACGCACTGGGAGTGGTCCTGGGGCTGTTTGTGGCGGCAGCAGGTGTTGTGACTGGGGAGTTGAAGTTGGAGAAGCTTGAGGGCGTGGTGGCGGGGGCGGAGGAGTAGCATGGGGAATCTTGGGTGGTAAAGCGGGAGGTAATCCAGGACTAACTTCACGCCGAGCCGGGAGGACTGGGTTTCGACTGGGCAGTTGTGGGGCGGACACTTTTCTTTCTCCTTCCAAAGGAGTTTTTGGTGGCAGCGGCGGGGCTGGTACTCCCGGCCGGGCTGCATTTGAACCTGATGAAGCCCTATGGCTGCGCGGGAGAGCATTGGCGAATTTGCCCGCATCCGCGATGGGAGGGGGTGCCTTGAAGCGTGGTCGAACTGGCGAAGGTTCCCGAGGCGGGGATGGGGGAGAAGGCTCGCGTGCAGGTGGTGGGGAGGGAGCGCGGCCACGTCGTGCTGGTGGCGGAGGAGGAGGTGCACCCCTCTTTCCTGTATTCTGGGGGCTGAGGGCTGCCGCTGGTGGGGCATTTGGTGGTGGAGGCGGAGGTGGAGCTTTCGCTTTCCTTTGGGAATCCGGCGAGGCTTCCTTGGATATACCGTTCAGCTCATCGGCCTGCTTCTGCTCGATATACGCTTTGATAAAGTCCGAATTTTCCGCTATTTGGTCCTCTGTAATGCCCATGGCAAGTAGCTCGTCGAGCAAGCCCTTCCATGACGGATCTATCGTATCTAAGGCAGACGTCTGCTTCCGTTGCGGGCTTGTTGGAAGCTCTGTTACTGTTGGAGGGGGGGCGGGGGCGGGAGGTGGAGTAGGCTGTCTTGGGGGTATAATAGATTCCGCAGGAGCGGCGGAATGGGTAGGCGCGGAGGAGGATCGATGCCCATGATGAAGGAGGCTACCGAGCCCAAAACGACTATGACTTTTGCCGCCTGTTGTTGGAGGCGGTCCTTGACCCCGGAGCGAGGAAAATGGAGTCGTCTTTGTTTCTTTACTCGCACTCTTCTCTCGCTCTTGAACCTTTTTTAAGAAAGTCTTTGCCTCCTTCTCATCTGCGAACGATAATCCCGCAAGACATTCCTCCAGCTCGAACGTGTGGAAAAAGGTCCTATCCTGGTTATAGGAGAAGCCATCATAAATTTCCTGGTCCCATACAACGCCTCTACCAGCGGGCTTTATTTCGGAGGCATATCACGTTAGTTTATATTCATGTAAACCATTCGAATGTGTGAAGGCATAGGCTCAAAGCAGGCATTGTGTTGCATACCGAAACATCAACCAACTTAATCCAAAATGTATGCCCAACCAAGTCGTTAGCAAGAACCGCAGCTCCTTGTAGTCCAGTGTAGGTCCATTTTTGAGGATTTGGATGTGCTACGTATAATCGCGCAACTGCAACCGCCAGTATTCTGTTGGAGGGTTTGGGAACCGTTCGCCGGACAGTCTCTTTATCCGCATCGGTAAGAATGGATGGCATGATCGGTGGTCTAAGGATAGAAGTATTCGCGTACAGAAAGATGGCAACGGTAGTCTCATCAGTTATATTCGATGGCCGTGGTGCTCATTGCTGATCTGATATATCCCTTGAGCAGGCAACCGGGTGCTTGTATGGGGGCGTGCGGAATGTATTGAAAATGTCGACCAAGGAACTGTTAGAATGCCTAACCGCCGTTGTGCAGCTGGGAACAGCCCTGTCCGCTAAACACCGCCTGCAATATGGCAGAAGAGAGGAGTACCGCAGAAGGAGACTGTTGTCAAAGAGTCGTTTATATAGATAGATGTAGGAGAGCGGGAGAATGGATGAATGGGTGAATGAATGGAGTTGGGCTTTGTCCAGCGTTGTGGAATCGGGGAAAGAAGAAGGCGAGGGTGCCAAGCCTTGCCAAGCCCAGGACAGCCTCAGTGGATTACGTGAAGAAGAGGAAGAAGTGCTGCGGGAGAAGTTCGTTGAATGGGAGTTATGGAGGAAAATAGCTATCTATGAGAATCAATTAGTCCGTAATTGAGAAATACCTATTGAAATTGATGGAGTGTGCATTTGCTTCTCATTGTATCAGGGAAGTCTAATACAGCGCATTGCTACTGTGCAGCACACAACGAAGTTAGCAAATGCAGTTGCATACTATGCTCTGGATCTATGGGTGGCAGATATTCGATGCGTAATGCTATTTATTGCCTGGTATAATGATATGCAGCAAAGATAATTAAGGCTACCTACATGCTAGGTAGATGAAGTTTATCAGGTCGATTCTCATCGGCGGGCTGCCATGCTTCTTCCCGGCTTGGTGATGTCATCGGAACCAGGGGGCATGCCATGTATATACATATAAATCATGCTGCCTGCCCGCAACATCCCAAACTGTTCGACTTCTCGACATCAACCACATCCATCCCTTTCCTTCCCAACGTCCCAAATTGGTCGATTATCCTGTAACAGGCTCAACTAAATTGGAAACAGCTTTCCTAAGACCGTCATTGGCGTCTCCAGCGATTCTGCAACCAACTCAACTTTCAGCATCTCTTACACAATCCCATCCATCCTGTCTAGCTAGAAATATGGCTAGCCAATCCAACCAAGGCTCCCAAGTAGGAAATGATCACAAGACCACGTACCAAACGCGAAGCCAGACGCAGGAAAACGCTGGGCCTACAGCTGCTGGTGAAAACATGAAGCCTGACGCACGGTACTTCGTAGCTAAGGGCCCGCAGATCCCAAAAGGTTAGTCTACGTCTTAAATCTAGGTTGTTGTATGAAAATAAATTCATCCAAGATATTTAGTCAGTGTTTGGTTGTTGATGTTGACTTTTTGAGGTATTATTAGAAGGCATGCCGCCAACCATCCCAAGGGAGGAAATAGAAGCTTGGATGAAGGAACTTAACAAGTGAGGTGGGATCCTGTGTAGGAAATGGCTCTTTTGAATCCCTATAGATGCTGGGTATGTGGGGATGGGACGAGTTCGCTGATGACACGGTTGTAATTCCTGTGGAATATTTGTTGTAAAGAGGAAAATATGGTGCGATGCGGTCAAGGAGCTGGCCGTGGATAACTAAATAGTAGTTATAATGGCTTGGCTGGGCGGGAACACCTGGGACGCAGTGGACTAGGCGTATAGGATAGCTCGAATAAGATTCCGCAAGGGGACCATTTGCCCGCCCTCTGCCATTAGGATAAAATAACTGCCCCCAATAAATTGTGTCTGTAGGCAGCCGTTTCTATCCCCCATTGCGCTGGACAAAAGAGCTGTCAGAAGTTGGAAGAAACAGCGCCATAATGCAGCCAGTCCGCTTCCCTTTACCTTACGATGGAGGCATGCCATCTTTGCTACGCTCGACAGCATCGTCAGGATTCTTCGCATTTCCCTCGCTTTCACCGGTCTTCTGGAGGTAGGCTTCAATCCCGTCAATGAGGATCCCAGCTTCCCGTACGATATCCGTATATTCTGCGGCTTTGACAGCAAGTCGGAAGTTAATCTCCAAAGTCCCTTTCAAGGCTTCCAACTGCGACAGCGGCTGCCCATCTTGTATCTGTTGCTCATGTTGTTTGATAGCCTGTATCCTCCGCCCTGTCTTGTCGTACCCGCGCTCCTTCAATGCGTTTCTAAATGCGGTCCTCACCCGTCTCGCGCACCATGACCGTATAACACTCCTCTCTGACGTGATGTCTCCGTGGGTTGAAGCAGACCACCAAAGACAACCCTTCTCTCGCGTCGCCCACATATATTCGATTTTGGGTCGGAGGGCGTACAGATTGGTGTGGCTGTCATTGGAAAATCTCTTTGCACGCAGTGTGGGCGTGATTTCAGGTGTGTAATGGACTGCGAAATAGCGCTGCCGGGGAGGGACGAACCTGGGCGGTTTTGAGAATTTGGAGGAGATGATTCCGATGGTCGCCGTTGTTTTCGCGCGACTCATCTTGTTTGACATGAATTCGTATATGTACTAGTATGTATTATAAAAGGCTTGCGTTGTGTGGGGCTGTCGCGTAGGATTGCTTGAAATACGGAACTGGAGACGGGGATAGGCTTTCAGGGACGTCGTGGTACATTGGTGACCGAATAAATCTAGCAGTTGTCGAAAGTACCTAGGTACTCTCACACCGTCCAACCGCTAGGAGGCAATTAGTGATTGAAGTAGGGCCTGGCACCAATGAAACGCTGTAGCTATAACTATTTCGAGGTCACTCCGCCGTGAAGGGACGATGATGGGATGCAAGCAAACCAGCTGGGGAGGTTGGAAAGTGATATTCTAGTTCCTCCACACTTGCTGGTAGCGACTATGAAGTTCAGGTCAGTGTCTGATCTCCCTGAAGCTCAACATAAAATTTTATCTAGTTAGAGAACAGCAGTTCCTTCCTTCCGTGTAGTGGGTCCTTTCTTCTTGGCGAATCCTTCGAGCTGTATATCCTTACAACCTCTTTCCTTATGAGGCCCTGTTCTCCTTCCTTCTGAGGTCTTGCTTATTGTTTTGTTTGTTTTTTTTCCCTTTTCTGTCTCTTTAAGAAGAAGGATTCCCTTATTTTTCTTTTTCTTTTGTTTTGAGGAAGAAGATAGCGGTAACTAGTATCAAAAAGCTAGCCATAAGATTGTTCAATTTTGCCCTTAATCCTTAACTATTCCATCCTAAGCTAATCCTTAAGATTTGCGAAGCCTGGAGGGCTTACGTAAAGATCCCTTACAGAGCCGTGAGGCTCGTTCTGTTTCTTAGTTAACTAATCACGTGTGGAAATTAACCAATCCAAAATTAGGGCCTGTTCGGTGATTTGGTCCGTACAGTGCCAGGGCCGTACAGAAAGTGGATATTTGCCTTTTGACGGCGTAAACCTTCATTATTGCCGCCTTTCCCTATATGAATATTAATCTGCTTGGCGTTCTGGCATTACTTTTATTACTTACGAGCGGTTTTTATTCATGATGATTATCGTGCGATTCCAGCGGACGCGTTGCAGTTGAAAATCCCGTTATATTACTACTTTCTCACACCAAATATCAGTGAAAAATGGATCTTGACGAGTCTCAGATTGATCCGACATCACAATACCTTGATGAACCCTTGATAAGCGAGAGCCAGCGGCCTGAATCCCCAACGCTAGCCACCCGAGCCACGCAGCGAGCCTCCCCACCCTATACCCAGCGAGCCCGGCGAGGCCCTCGAGTTCGAACTGATTGGACCCCTGACATGGAGCTGGCCATGCTCAATACCTTCATTGATGCCAAAAAACGAGGTTTGGAGACAGACAACGGCAATTACAAAAGTGTTGTTTGGCCTTCAATTGTTGATGCTGTCAGTCAGCATACACATCAATCTATTACCAAAGATATATGTGAGAATCGATGGCGGAAGATTAAAACGATTTGGAAGTTGTGGCATAAGCATCAACAGCAGATATCTGGGTGGTCATTCTGTCAAGAAAAAATGACATTTGTCAATGATATTGAGGTTACCAGCGTGTATTTCAATCAACATCCGGAAATGCGACAATTTCAACATCGAGGACCTGTGTATCCAGAACTCACCGGGGAACTGCTTGATGGTCGATTGGCAACAGGTGATTATGCTATAGGATATCACGCTCGTCAGCAAAGAAGAAGAGAAGAGATGATGAGTGAAAATACTAGTGATGTTGGAATAGAGGAGGAATTGACATTCACATCCACATCTTTCTTGACACCCACACCTGTTGTAGAATCTCTTGGAGCAGCTTATCAAAACTCTGCTAGCTCATCTCAATCACCTGCGAGAATGTCAACTGAAACAAGCACTCGAAATCGACCACTCAAAAGAAAATTTGAGGACTGTATTGATGCTCTGAGAGAAGTTATAAGAGAATCTGCAACAGCCAAATTAAGAGTTGAGCAGCCAGGTGATATCGAGCGAGCAACCAGGCTATTTTTAAGTGAGGTTCAGGATTTGCTTCCAGAGGATTGGAAGGTTGATGGTCGAATTCCTTATTCACGATATAGCAAGATACCATTGCTTTTTCGAGATCCAAATATATCAGGTCTCTATCTTGGTTATAGTGCAGGGTCAATAGAGGATCGGCGAAGCTTTATACTGACTCTATTTGATTCAGAAGAGCAGTAATAGAAGTAGTAAGATGAAGAAGAAATGATGGCAGAAGTAGTGGCAGAAGTAGTTGTGGGATTAGTGGCAAAAAATAATAATGAAGGCTTCTTTGTATCTACAATATCAATGAAATAAAGAATGAATGGAGAGGTTTCTTTGATAAATTACCAAAATAACAGTATTTACATTGAATAACATGGTTATAAAACATCACCACTTTTTGTATGAGAAGGTTAGGTAAATATGTTAGTTCTATTGGTTGATAAATTACAGCATGTATTATATACCATCAAATACACTGATAAAATACATATATTACTGCAATGAAAGTGAGAAGATGTTTGAAATATCAATATTGCTGTGGAAAGTACTCAATCTACTTGATTGCTTTATTGAGACTAGCTAGCTCGCTTAATTGTTATTATGATTCCCACTCAGATATTCCTTATACTGCTTCCACATCTGCTTAGCAATATCATCCCGTTTTTTCATTATTTCATCACCATTCTCTTGAACATCTGCAGGAACCGTTTCTCTTCTTTCCTCCTCAATATCAGAATTCTCATCATATTGAGTAAGCTCATCCATTTCCTTATAGTGATTCATGAAGTTATGAACCGCTGCTAACGCAAAAACCAGGTCAATTTGAGTTGTTATAGAGAATCCATCTCGACATCGATCATAGATTTGAAATCGCCGTTTAAACACCCCAAACACACACTCAATTACACCTCGCAAGCTCGCATGGCGAAGATTATATAGCTCTGAAGCATTGACAGGTTGAGAATTCGCTTTTTCCCATTCCTTTAGATGATATCGAACTCCTGAATATGGAACCAACATCAAGCTGGATTTCTGCGAATAGCCAGCATCTGCTAAAAAGTAGAAGTCAGATAATGTGGTTCCAAATTGATCCCTTTCCTGCGCCTGTGAAAGAACTCTACTATCATGAGAAGATCCTTCCATTCCAGGGTAGATATATACGAAGTTCATATCGTGATCGCAGGCAGCGAGGACATTTTGAGATATCCATCCCTTTCGATTTCGCCTACAGATTGCTTGATCAAGGATAAAAATAGGTAAATGAGTCCTATCTAGAGCTCCAATACATCCTTTGAAGAAAGGCCAATATCGTGGATTTGAACCAAGAGCTTTCTTGCTATATTCCATTGGGGATTCGGGCATCTTGACATAATGCTCATAGAGTACGCAGAGCGATTCCAAAACCTCATGAAAGACTCTATACAAGTTATTAGTATAACATCAATTTGGTGAGTATTCTATCATTTGTACTTACTTGGATATTGTGTCTAATGAATGATGAAATATCTCTGCAGTGTTCCGATAGCTCACCCCCTGTGTCGTAATATACAAGAATATGAGAACCTTCTGCTCAATCTTTATGGCATGTATTGCTTCGGATTCGCGAATATCGGTATTACTTCTCAGCCGATCAACCAGTGCAATGAACGTACTGGCACTCATCCGTGTCATATTCTTAATACGCAGTGGGTGGGAGGTAGGATCCAACAACTGAGTGGTAAATTGAAATCCACGAAATGGATCAGAATACATGGATTGTATGCCAGGTGAGACAGTTGAGATGCTCTGATGAATCACTTCTGCAGCAGCAAGCCTGATTAATTGTTGTCTACAACATAGATACTGTCGTATTGCCTCCTGAGTTGCATTGTCACTGTTGCTCGCCATGATCCTTGATTTTTGATGATATTTGCAGGTTCCAAGCCGGCCTCCAGCGTATACAGTACAGATTTAACTTGATTAGGTTTAAATTCGCCACTTTTTCAACTAATTACACCGTTGAACTCTATAAAGTGGATTTTGAAGCCAGCTTGGCACTCTTGGTGAGTTATCCCCTCGTGGGTAGGTTTTTGCAAAATTAGCGTGGTTTCATTAGTGTATATTATACGAGATCCCATTGAATAATCAGTGTATTTTTGAGTATTTGTTGGTATTAGTGTAATATATAAACCCTAATTAAGGATCCGCGCCAATATATCTATATTAGGATATATTATGAAATTCCGCCCAACATCGAGTTTTCAAACATAAGGGGGTATTTTGACATCCTGAACAACCAGAATTTGATCTCCCTGCCTGTTTACCTTCCTGCTGGCCAATCTTTCGTTTATACTGACACCAGGCACAAACACGCTGTTTTGAAAGAGGAATTCGTTGATGATTTAGACCAGGATTTGATCGTTCGATAGGAAGATTATCATGAATCTTAGGTGCAAATTCAAAGAGCTGTTGATAAAGCTTCTCATGAAAGCTTATATGAGAAGGAAGATCCTTTGCCGGAATCCCTTGCTGCTTCATATATATATATTGAAGCCGGTATGCATTGACAGCCGCGGAATCGATAAGCCAGTAGAGAATAGGAAGCCAGGTTCGATAGGTGACTCTATGGCTAGTATATGCTGCCCAGTATTGATTTGCTAGGTCTACCCCATTCATATTATGATTATAATCATCTATAATCAATGGGATTTTCAGCTTCTTTTGTGGTTGACCTTCAAAGACTTTCTTAACAATATTGGCATTGGTTGAGAGTTTCCCTGGGCATTTACGAGTACGTTCAATAACTGCGTCCAATGAATGAATCGTAGTTAGTGCCAATACCATATTATTATCTTGCCAGGCAAGACAGAGAACATTCTCTTTTTCAATGGCATGCAGGGTATTCCAGGGTATGGAATTTGAATGCTCTCAAAGCTCGCCTAGTACTGCTGGAACCTGGTTTGGACGAGTGGTTCCACATGCTCCATACCCCTGTTGACATAGTTCTTTGAATAGAGGAACTGATGTAAAGTAGTTATCCATATAAATTGAATAGGATGTGACCGGCTGTGCGATAGAGATTTGATTAGGGGTGGCATTCGGCGTGGCATTCGGGGGGTTGATATTCGGCGTGGTATTCGGGTTGATATTAGGGGTGATATTAGGGGTGATATTAGGGTCGGTATTAGGGGTGGCATTCGGCGTGGCATTCGGCGTATTCAGCGTGGATACCGTAGGAAGCCGGTTCACCAGATTCACCACCATAGATCCGGTTTTTGTTAATGTAGGGAATTGAAACATAGGCATTATACCCTGCCGGCGGCTAGACCAGAAAAAAGTCCATAAATAGCCATGTTCTGCTAGGCCAAATATCTTATATCCCCGAGGAATTGGTTTATTAGGCATCTTGTATGTATGTTGACTCCGTCCAAAGCATTTAACCATGATCTCATCAATAGAAATCTTGGAGCCAGGGGTGTAGTATTTTCGGCATGCCATATGGAACTCAGTAGCCAACGGCTCTACCTTATACCACCAATCAACCTTATTTTTGGCCCCCGGGCGGCGGACTTCACGGGAGTTAGATATATGGATATATCGTTTAAGTTGTTTAAAACGCGTATGGGTCATATAGGATTGAACAGAATGAATAGAGCCCTGTTTCAGATCATTCCGCCAGTATAGATCAGTTCAATGGGATTTATGAACCTCCATATAGAGAAGAATGCCTATAAAGACCTTTATCTCCACTGGATTGGTATTTTTCCATGAATATTGTTGGATAGAAGGCTTTGAGAATATAGAAATTTCAGAAATCTCTATATCTTGAGCTTCCTCATTCTCCTCTATTTCTGAAAGCTCTGGAGCTTCATCATCAGTATCTCTAGCATTTTTCTTTAGTTTTGCATAGAGATTAGTAGAATCACTGATATTTTGAAGGCTTTCCTCAGAGAAGAATAGAGTAAATAAGGCATAAGGACTGCTAATATTGATATTCGCTGGAATATTAAGAATTGGATCTCGTGAGGCAGGCAGTATTGGATGGAATTTCACTGATTCTAGAGGTGGAAGTTCTGCAATAACCTCTTCAATAGGCCGTTTTCGTTTTCTTGACATTTTTGTATGAACTAGAGAATAAATTAGTTAGCTAGGTCATTTGAATTGATTAATATAACAAAATTACCATTGGATTTAGTAGGTTTCTCAGTGGATTCCACGTTCGCAGGTTGAGGGGGTTCCATATTCGCGAGGGGGGGGTGGGGGGGTGTTCCATATATTCCTGAGTAGGGGTTCTTTATATTCGCGGATAGGGGGTTCAAACGCGTTGGATTCTCAACGCGTTGTTGAGATCTACATGGGATTGTTCATCAGTAGATCTGAATGACCAATTATCATTCATATAAAATTATATGGGATTCTATTGGTTATGCCCAGGGCGCCGGTGCAGAATTCCATACACTAATTGAAACCACGCTAATTTTGCAAAAACCTACCCACAAGGGGATACAGGGTTATACGCAAAATCTACCGAACAGCAGGCCTTTTTCGGCCAGATTAGCGCGTACAGAGCTGTATAAGTCCGTATAGCTGGCACTGTACGGACTTATACGGCCCTGGACGGGGTCACCGAACAGGCCCTTAGTTGGTTTGCGCTGCCACACTGTAACTACTTACAAGAGGGAAATCCGCCGACCCTGGCACAGACTAGACATTTATGGGCCTCAGGGTCATGCTCTGGTTACTTGGTTATTTAAAGGAGCCTAACTCGTGCAAGGGAGAGTGGAAGCAGCCAACATGCAATTCTCAGTCAATAAGACGGTTAAGACCGGTCTTCTGTTTCGGTTGTCCAGGCTTGCACATTCTCTCCGCACGATTGCTAGGTTTATATCACCAGGTTCTTTACCTACTTAAGGATTCAAGCAAACTGCATTCCCTCCAACTATGCAGACTAGTCGTTCATCGCGCACGCTGTTGACCTTACCACTCGAACTACAAAGAGAAATAATATCCCACGCTCTTGTACCCAATCGCAAGGACTACCAGGATCCGCCGGTCAGCCTGGATATTTACCGCGTTCGTGATGATAGAGACGTGGCAAGTTTACTGAACTGGAGTAGTACTTGCAAGTGGTTTCGGACGTTACTTGCGCCAAGGTGTTTTGAGACTATATCGCTATGGAATAGCGCCCAGAGTGCTTTATCTGTCCATGCAATTGCCCAGGGTGAATGGGCTGGCTCTGTGAAAACGCTGCGTTATGTCGCCCAACTCAAAGAAGGTACGAGGAGAAAATAATCATGATAATAATACCCGTGATCAAACCATCTTCCTCCCAGAGCTCACAAGTTCACTAATCTGACTTGCGTCCAGGTCAAGAATGCCTTTCTATTGCAGAATTGCACCCGCCTGAGGTCGAAGCCATTCTAAACCGGATTTCTCAATTTCCCAACCTAGAGCAGCTCACCGTGAGCTTTCTTATTCATTACCAGGAAATTTGGTCTGCTCTTCGAAGGGAACAAACTACCAATTTCATCAATGTTAATCCTGCGTTCACCACAGTCGAAGAAAAGCGACACCCATGGCGCGCATTGCTGTCAGCCGGCGTCAATTCAATCATCCAAAATCCCTCCTATGGACGCCTCGAAACATTCGAAATCCAAAATCTAGGCGTGTTTCCCGCATCTGCGTACGGCTTGCAAAAATTCCGCAAACTTTTCTCCAAATTGAAGACATTCCGACTGTCGTTTTCAGAATTGGGTCAAACAGGCAGCCTCGATCCCAATTTCCAGTTTTTTGAACAATTGGGCCCGTGGTTCTTCAACAATCTTCGCTTGGTGGAGAATCTGAGCGTCGACGCCGGAAGGAGGCATCTGCTGAGCGAGCAAGTCAGCTATGGCTTTAACAACACGGGCCTACGTGAGGCTAGAATGCCAAAACTCCGTAATGTCAAATTTCAAAATCTATTCCTCTGTAAGGAGGTAGTTGCATTTTTGACCAAGCATCTCGGAACCCTGGAGTCGATCACGCTAGAAAACTGCTATGGCAACCATTCTCTAAAGCCTCAGCATGTCCGGTATCCATTTAGCTACCACTGGTGGCAATTATTTGATGCGCTGAAGACGGAGTCGCCGACTCGGCTGGTTGCGTTTGAACTAAATTTTACGAGGAATGAGAAGGGGCTGATTCAATGGGGTAAAAAGCCGCCGCCGTACGAGAACGAGTGGTACAGCCAACTGAAGAAGTCAGAGGTGCAGCCGGGGAAGATATTTCTGTATGGGGTGGCTTTTCCCGGTGATGGCCTCACATATCCTTACCCTGAAGCAATTCAAGAGTCTCTGCGTGAAGGGCTTGATGAGAGAGGCTACTTATCTTTGATGGCTATGGTTGAGTGCAATGTTAAGAAGAGAAAGTAGATAGTACTGTGACGCTCCGGAATAGCCCTATGGCATCGGCTTAGGGATTAGGGATTAGCCAATTTATGGATCGCTGGACCTATCGGGACAGGCTGTCTGCCCTCTGATCACATTACATGTAAAAAATCGTTTTGGCCCGATGGCTGTTATATAGTCCGCCGTAACTAACTACTAGTTAACTAACGTATTTCCTCACCGAGCGGGACACCACACCGAGCGAGACACCAAACTTCCCGTACAAATTCCAACTTTTAAAAGTCCTATTTCTAGATACCCCCAAGAAAAGTTTTTATGGTGGAGTTGAGCATTGCCAAATCAGGCATAGCGGCAGAGCTTGTGTGGCGGATTCGGCCAGCAGAAAGAGGATCCCCACCATAACCACCACCACCACATCCACCAAGGTTATCCCACCAGCAGCACGAAAATATCTTGCTACGAACGGATTTGAGAAGCCCTTGCCTTTTAAAATCCTGGGACAATTTAGCAACCAGCCAGCATGCCGAAGAATAAGGGAAAAGTATGTTTTATACCCCTCCATGCCAGTTTTGTGAACCCACCTCACTGACATTCAGGCCTGTGGAAAATAGGGTGGTAAAAATCGACGTCGTGGAAAGAACGAGAATGACAACGAGAAGCGAGAACTGACCTTCAAGGAGGAAGGCCAAGAATATGCCCAGGTTGTCAAGATGTTGGGCAACGGACGATTGGAGGCCCTCTGTTTCGACGGCGAGAAAAGACTTGCACATATCCGTGGCAAACTCCGTAAGAAGGTCTGGATCAATCAGGGAGACATCATCCTGCTATCTCTTCGAGACTATCAAGACGAGAAAGGCGATGTTATCCTCAAGTATAATGCCGATGAGGCTCGAAGTCTGAAAGCCTATGGCGAGTTGCCTGAGAGTGCGAAGATTAACGAGACTGATACGTAAGTTTAGCCTCGCCTTTACATCATTTAAACATATCGGTATCATATATATATATATATATCGCTAACTTTATCACTACAGCTATGGCCACGAGGACATTGATGACAACGTCGAGTTCGACGAAGACCGTGATGGCAGCGAGGACGACAAGGACATCGACGTTGATGAGATCTGATATCTCCCCAAAAATTTACGCCGATCCGACGATGTCGAAAGCCCCTCTATATGCACGTATTTGGCTTCAGCAGTCGCAAGGCCGGTGATTCTCTCTGTCCTTTGGTGTTGCGTTGTAGAGGACTTTTGTTCCAAACGCCGCTATGTTCAAGTAACTTCACCACCACCGTTAACTTGCGGGCAAGAATCGACACTCAGCTGCTTCTTTTCTCACGGGGATAGAAACAAGACATCCTCAACTGAAGAAATTCCCGGTCATATATTGCTATCGACTATCTTAGGATCCATATGCCTATAAAGCAGGGTTTTAGCCGGTCGTCGGATGGGCCGTCAGTCGCGAGAGTTTGGGTATTATCAACCATGGATCGATCCGATAGTTTTCCCTTCTTTCCCAATCTTGCTCTCCATCTTGAACGCAGTTTACGATTAGACGGGCTTTATTTTTACATCCATTTCCAACCTGACGATTACTAAAAACTCTGGCTTTACTTTTTAGAGTGCCTCTTTATTGACATTTTTTTTGTTCCTGCCTCTTTTTTTGTTTTCCTATCCTTCTATTGGCTTGCATTTCTTGCCCTACTTTTGTTTTTTCTCCCCCTTGTAGTGGCTTTTACGACGATTCAAATTTGGCAGTTTGAAAGCGTGGCACATAGATGAACTGAAAACTAAAAATGAAGCTCTATGTAATTGATATTTCACTCGTATGTTCGTAGAACCAAGGTATCATAACTGGGGGGGGGGGATTACACTTAAAAGCTATTCATGGCCAGGTTCGTCAAATTTCCAATAAGGGTATCAGTACAATACACTTCGACGGATACAAAGTAACCAAGCACCAACACACAGATCCTTCCTACTCCCACCAAAAGTAGACTACATTCGGCCTTCTCACGATCGATACGTCAATCGCATCATAGTCGAACCATAGAATCCTCGCCCATTTATTCAATCGACGATCTCTTCATCGAAAAGATTCCTCCGAAAGAACCGCAATATCTGCCTCCCAACCTCTTTCCCAACCAACGGCTCCAGCTCCTCCATCTCCATATTCGTGATCTGCTGCAAATTCTCCGTCTCCAAAATCAGCCGCTCCGCTATCTTGGGCGTCACGCCGGGAACAGCTCGTAACATATCCTGCGGCAGCTGGTTGAAGGTTCGATGCTCGATGCCCGCCGCTGTCATGATACTGTTGCTAGCACCCGTTGCTGCAGCGGCCATAGCAGGGGATGTGATATCAAAATCTAGCCCGATTTGGACGGCACGGATGGGATCTGGTTCAGGGTTGTTCTTTTTCAACTCTTCGAATATTTCTGCCGTTTGATAAGGGGCGGAGGACCAGATGATTTTTAACCGCGGGAAGGCGAGTGTGAGCAGTGTGAGGAGGTGCTGGACAGATTTCGGATTTGTGGGGTTTATCAAGTTACTGGATAGGCTTTCTGAGCCATGCGTGTTTGTCGCAGAGGTGAATGCGTCGAAGGTAAAGGATTTGTTCTGGTCAAATTCAATTAGTAGGACTGGGGTTTTGTAATGTTGCAGCATGGTCTCAGCCTGATTATACAACCGGCCGTTTCTCAGCGAGCTGAACAGGTCGCGGATCGATTTGCGCTCGACACAGATGTCAGGGGTTAAGATGTAGTCTCCAACTGTCAATTGACAGGGAACTACAATCATGCTTCGCCCATGGAGAAAGCAAGGGAGAGCGCTGCGAAATTCGCGCACATCCACAACCACGGTAGGTGGGGCTGCCGTTGCCGCGAGTCGGCCACCACCTGCTATGAGGGTATTTACTGTTCGGAGAAATTGCTCCTGAGGATCTTCTGCACTTCTGTCATGGGTTATTGTCAGGGCCCATGGACTGTAAGGTTTTAAATAGTCAGTTTTTAAATACGTATGTAATACTGGCAGGTGGAAATGCATGACACATACCCCTTTTTCTTTGATTAGTTTTGTGAATGCGTCTTTTTCCCTCCGGACCGCACTTAAATATCGCTGCTCTTCAACCGAACCTCCATAATATAAAAAGTAAACCCTGACTTCCCGGTCTGTGTGAGAACTTCGGTAGACCTCTACCCTGCGAATGAAAGCTGCGTCCGGTTCGTACATGATTATATATCGTGGCTTGACTTCTTCAAGGACATGGTCGTCCACGTCTCCCTGGTAAGAGTATACCATTAGGAGATCGTTCATATCATAGAGTTGATAGAAATCTTCCACATCTTTCAGGTCGTCATCCACGATCTCAACCCCGATAGCTTCATCTTGCGGCTCAGCAAGTTTGATTTCCTCCAGAAGCGTTGATACCTGTGCTGACGCCATCGTATCGGGCTGGACACTGTTGCTTGCACCTCTGACTGGTGCCAGACCTGAGCCCCCGCCTCCGCGAACACGTCGTCTCTTGTTCGGTGGCGCTCTTCCTTGATAGCGGGTGGCTGAACCCACGGAATTATACCCTGGTGCCGTGCCTGGCTCCTGTTTTGATTTAGTATCATACATATTGCTGTTAATTTTTGACGAAATACGTTTCCAATTTAGATAGTTCCGAAGTTTTCTCCGAAGCATAAACTCCCCTGAAGGCTTATTGTCATCTACTTCTACCTCATCATTCGTCTCGTCATTGGGCGTTTCAACTTTGATGCGCATTGTTTCTAAATATTCTCTGATTTGGTAGCAGGTTTTCCCGTCGCTACACATGATCAATATAGTTCCATTGGAGCCACCCGGGGCAACAGGGTTGGGATATGTACTCCTCTCAATTTCGTCTAGAACATCCGCAAGAACTGACCATTTTGGCTGTTCTTCAAGTACTGGCTCCAAGGCTGTTGGTAAAGAAGCAGTGTCAGATATAAACTCCTGATTGCTAATTTTGCCGCGATAAACTCTAGACTTTGCAGTTTGAAATAGAACATGAGCTGCATCAAGAAACAGCCAAGGGGAGTAGTTCTGCCTTGTTGATCCCGGCGGTGGCGAGTGCATAGCAATGATCGTGTCAAGGTATTTGATAAAAGAGACTGAATCGTACGTCAGTAATGAGCTGTGGCAGATATATTAGCACTACTCCCATATTTCTACATGAAATGCTGGTTGCCTAGACTTACTGGAGTATCGACCTCAGGACAGCTAAATCACTAACTATTTGTTTTGTTCTAGAGGTTACACGATGCCACATATGTTCCAACTGCCGCCGGATAGCCACATCAAAATCTTGATGTAAGGCACTATCCACTGTCCAGTCCTCAATGTCGAGGCCGGAATTTGCCTTTTTGAGCTCTCGAATGTTCGCTTCGACACATTCTAGGACCGCGTTTTGGATATCTCGCATTTTGTCTGTCATCGGTATTTCTAGCTCGATGACTTCAGCTTTCTTCCGGCCTTCCAAGGACTCTGCTACTGTAACCTGGAATCTTGGCCAGAGGGACGGCTTCCGAAGAAATAGATTCCGCATTATGTTTGCTAGAGGGCTGAAGCCGATTGTGAAAGGTTCCGGAGAATCAGAGAAAGCTTTTAAAAAGCCCACTTTGTTGAATTGCCGATATAGACGGATAATAAATGCTTCCAACGAGGTGGCAACGATTCTAGAACAAGTTTAATATACCACCGCAACTTTAGCAGGGCTAAATAACTCTTACTTTTCAGCATGGAGAACAATTAAGCCAGTAATGGTTTCGGGATCAAGTAACTCTATTGGTTCTATTAGCAAACTGCTTAACTAGGTGCAGAAGGGCAACTCAACTGGATAACAAATCGACAACCAATATCCGCGATGTGACACTCAGGATACCGCCTTGGGCGTACATTTTTTGCCTTGCATTACATCATGTCAGAGATAAATAAACAATAGCTCTCGGTGTCACAAAACATACCTCAGAGGAACAGTAGCTCTATCGGTATTGATCACTTTAAGGCCTCTGGCCAGGGGAGTTCTGCTGACCGCATATTGTTCGGCGAGAGCTGTGTCAAGCATCAGCATCATTCACTGCGTCAAACACCGTGAGGATACGCACCTTCCCCAATCCATTCATTTTCTCGACTACCAGCACCCACCACTATGATAAGGTTATTGCCGGCTGCATCATATGAATGTAATAGATTCGTCACGATACGCAGCAGGCCAAGGCCCCTTGCAAGAATTACTAGTTCATCCTCGGCTCTGAGTTCTGAGAACAAATCTTGCTGATATTGCTAGACAAGTTTGTTAGATCTTATTGATCTATGACCCACAGACATGCAATGCTTACAAGTGGCAGTGATAGCTTCACGACTGGGTTCGCTTGTTCGCCAGACATCAGGATTCCTTGGACCCTATTCGATACACAGGCACATGGCCACGTGATTGATAGAATACGTGATGATTTCTGTAGAGCGATTGCTCATTATAATGAGGCATGCGAGCGAAGCAACCGCCGAGCGAATATCTTGACTTCGAACCCCCGTGCTTGTATTGTTGCGCCTACAGGGCTTCGAGGACGAAAGCAGGATACCTTCCAGAAGCAGACAGCACTCCTGCTGCTATAAGCCAGCGGGTCTGACTCTTAAAAGCAGCGACAAACTTCCGTTCAGGGAAAATAGATATTCTGACGTAATCATCTCATCTTGACAGCTTCGTCTTCACGGTTGTGTCGAGATCCTCAGCTTATCTTGTGATAAATCAGACATGTCAATGCTGTTCCCAATATAACACTGTCGCCCTTCCTCCCGCTGCCTTTATTCGCTCGCCATGCTGATTTCTCTGACTGTTGGGAAGGTCGATGCTGGCGTCGCTGTCCTCCTGACTGAAGACAATCGACTTGTAAGCTCTATCTATCCCCACCATTTCCTTGCCTACACAGTTCCTATCATTTCAGTGTTTATGTCACATTCATCTATGACAGCGGTAGATGACCTTTGAAGTATCACTGTCATATGGCCCCGTTTTGTATCTGCTTCGCATTGCTCCATGAACGCTCTGCTTACATTGTTCACTGTAGATCGAATTTCCGTCTGTTCTCCTGCCAAAAAATATAGCATCAGGCAGCATCGTTGATATAACAGTGTCGCGCAACCTGGCCGCGGAAGCTGCAAGTGTTTCCACTTTCCAATCCCTGCAAAAGCGTATCCTGCAAACCTATGGCATCCATACACCGTCTGCACCTGTCCTCCGCCTCAGAAATGCGACTCAAACATCCCTTGTTCTTGAATGGGACCCAATCAACTTAGCCACCGCGTCCCTCAAGTCGCTGTCCTTATACCGCAATGACTCCAAGGCTGGTTCGATTCCAAGACCAAAGGAGATGCTTAGCACCAAAATCAGCGGCCTTGCAATTGACACAGAGTACACTTTCCACCTCGTTCTCCGCACTTCTGCGGGCACTTTTAGTTCAGAGAAACTGGTTTGCCGTACGCACAAGATGACCGATTTATCAGGAATCACTATTACTCCCGGCGTTCTACCCCAGAGTTTAAGGACATCGCTCGAAGAAGCTGTTGATCGGATTGGCGCCAAACTCATCGACACAGTGCGCATAGACACCACCCACTTCGTCTGTACGGAAGGCAGAGGTGCAGCCTGGGAAAAGGCTGTTGAAATGAATATTCCAGTTGTCCGACCAGAGTGGGTAGACGGATGCGAGCGAGAAGGTACCATTGTTAGCGTACGCGGGTACTACTTGAACGCGGATCCAAAATTGAGGCAAATAGGGCCGAGCGTCGGTGCGCAACTACATCGCCAGCGAACCATGTCAAACCATAACAACTCCTCCGGTTCTGTTTCACCAGGGCGAATAGACCGCGTAAATTCAGCTTCCCGATCGCAACAACAGCCAACCGAGAAGGAACTCCCCAGCCCGCCGTTGCCTGGTAGTGAGGCAAACGGACCATCGCATGGACAAGAATCAGATACTGAAGATGGAAATAATAACGCAATTCAGTCTGCGCCACAGCCGCTGGCTAAAGACGAAAAAGAGAACATTAAACCAAGACAAAAAGATGCGGGATCGCCTGTCAATGAAAGGGAAGCGCCTCCTGCATATGGCGATACAGAGGCGGACTATGAGAGTGACACAGCAGGATCCTCAAATGGTGACTTGGCAGATAAGACATATCCTCAATCGCAACGAAATCCGGCTCCTAATGACAAAAAGACGAACGGAGCTGGGGGGGAAGGTGAGCTGGATGAGGTTCCTCTTTAAGTTTTAGCAGGAAAGAAATGGCTGTAGCAACATCACTGCCATTAATCATTGTCTTCCCTGGACCCACGTTTTATTTTATATGTTCCTCCGGATGCTGTCGAGCGGAGTCTACATGTCAAGGATGAGTTGTGAAACATGGCTTCTTAAATTCGCCCCTGCTGTTATTATTATTCTTTCTGTGCAAACTAGCAATAATGCTGATATTTCACATGTGTTATTTTTTTGCGTATTTTGAAACCCTTGACTCTTTCCTTGCACGTCCATGTTTAGCTTATCCCTGTTCCCTCTATATATAATTCCTAGAGCCAGCCTTCAATGCAGATTTTCTTTTACTTTCGGGGGTGTTAATTTTATTATAATTTAGCTATCTCGGCAGCCTCAAGCCTTCAATGGTATCCGATGGTGAAGGGATGACTGTCCCGTGGAAAACCAGGCTATGTACAGATCTGTACAAGCTATTTCCCGAAAAAAAAAAAAAAAAAAAAAAAAAAAAAAAAAAAAAAAACATTTGCTTGGGCTTGACTTCCTGTAAGTGTTGTTCATTGGGGTAGGTTCCCACTTCATAGCCTTGTGGCGACATTTTGCTGACTTAGACTTGATGCAGACCTTCAGCCAGATAATATTTAGTTTTCAGCTGCTGGAGTTTTGCAAAATGAGCTTCGTTTGCCGCCTCCAGTGTTTAGTCCGGTCAGATATCTGGAAGGAATGAGCCGAGATAATATGTAGCACCCCGGAATATTTGATGCGTTTGCAGAGATTTCGGGGTTTCCTGGATGAGGTAGACTTCTGCACACTCTGGTTAGAACTGATGATTTGGGCGGAGGTAAGAGGAATTCATTATCGTGCCAGATTAACATACCTAGTGTGAAACTAACATATCCTTACGGCTATGTGGAATCAGCAATTTGATAAGCTGCCAGTAGCACCGAGAGCATTGCGGGCTCCTGAACTCATAGACCGAGACGCGGGGATGCTTAGTATTGATATCTGGACTTTGGGTTGTCTGGTATACCAACCTGACCCTATCATCTAATTATTATTATTATTATTTTTTTTTTTTCTTGAATAGATCTTTGATTGAGCAACGAATGAGTCCCTCTTTGTTGTAGGAACTTTTTGCCTCGCAGCAGAGCAAATCGGCAAAGAACACAATCATCTCATTGATAACAATGGCCAGATCTATGAGCACTCACTGAATCCCTGAAGGATAGATTACCGTCTGACTTCGGTGCAGAGAACATATCATACCTGGTGTCATTTCTTTCGTTGATACTACAGATATATCCTAACAAACGACCATCAGCAATCAAGTTACTTAAACACCTCCTCCTACTGGGAGGATTTTAGAGCTGAAGTCCTTGGACGTCGACCATTATTGAGTTTGAGGTGATATCCGTCAAATTCTATCACCATTCGCCAATGCCCCGATACCCTTCTACGAGTTCACCCTTCATAAACAATGGTGGGAGAGAAACTGGTCGTCTGTGCATGAGTGAGGGCGATGGAGGAAAGAGGGGAGCTGGCATTCGTTGGTTCCAATTTCCTCTTGCCCTTGCTTTTATTTTCTTTGAGGCTATGTACGCAATCCATTACCCGGATACTCTGTTCCTTCGAGGTCCAATAGTCATCTGTGGCTGCCTCGAGGAAGCACTTCTTCCTATACTCCTCTAACCCAACAGTCGATTTGCACAGGAAACACGGGTGTTTCGCGTAAGAACGAGGATGCCTTGAAGATTCTGGTGAAAGATATCAAGAAATTGCCAACTCCAAACAGAGCGAAGGGCAGAAGCGTTCCAAGCGAGTTATCGAGGTTTATTTGCCCATCGGAGATATTTCCTCTTTAATGCTCTTAGGTTCTTTAGAGATAGAGCAATTCACTAGATCCTCAAGTGCACCGTCCGTGCATTAAATATTTTAGAGTATCGTTCCACGCCTCATCCACTAGGTGGTCAGCTCCTACAGCGCCATCGACATACCTCCGGATACCAATATTAGCCGGTTCGAAGCAGGATTTTGCAACGGATGTTGAGTGTGCTGCATATAATATGGTCGGACTGAGATTACTGTTACCTAGTAGCCTGTAGGATTTGAGGCGTACGATGGTTCCCTTTTGAATGTCATTTCCCAGAAAAAAACTACGGTTTGTTTGGCTGCAAGTACGGGGAGAAAAAAGGGGAGGCCCCTTACAGGTTTTTCGCACGTACTCTACGATCCCCGTCCCTATCGTCATAAAGCAAGTATGCATCTGATAAACCGAGAGATGCCCAAGTTTCATGAAGGAGGTCCTCAAAAACCCGTGTCAACCCAATCTTTGATTCTCCTTTAGTCAAGAAGAAATGATATCTTCTCAAATAACTCCAATGGCCATAACCCCATCCCATCCCATCCCCTTTCCCCGTTGCCTCAGTACTAGTGCTACCAATCAGGTTGAGCAATTCTCAAGGATTCACAGGAGCGACTTAATAGCGCGCCCCTCTCCTTGTGGTTGACTGTTTCCATCGAGCCTTGTATGACCAAGGGCTAGAGTGTCCCTGACATCTCTAAATTCCGAAAACAATTTCCGCCTATCCCCTTGGGTCATTACAATGGTATACAATTGTTGCCACGGAATAGCAAGCAAAGATCAATGAGATTGATGAGAGGATGTCCACCCAGTCTTTGTGCTTGCACTTCTTCCATTTCTGATATTTGGGTGTTTTTCACTCTGTTGCCGGCTGGTCGAGTCGCGCCGCTGAAGATAGACGGACTTCCAGATATTCAAGCCGCTTATATTTCCTGCACAGCCAATCACACCAGAAAGTACCACGCATTTTAGTAGGCATTATCCTGGGCCGACTCCTAGACTTGGTGTGGATGGTTGTGGAGGTTCTCGTGTTGCGGGAAGAGAGCTCAAGTGTGTAGGTGTTTGCTGGAGGTCCCGGAAGCCTCGGCGAGACTCCAAATCGGACCTCCCGGCGCAGTGCTTGTAAAGGAAGCCCCGAAAAGCTGACATCTGCTTCATGCGGTGACGTTTGTGAGGATCCCAAAATGATTCTATGGCGAGAAAACGTTTGGACAAAGGAAGCCCGGGACATGTGCTTCCAGCGGCGCCCGCCGCGACTTGTTTCTTAGACTGCCAGTCTACCCATTGGCAGCAGTTCTCCTATCAATGCCCAAATTTTACAATTTCGGCATCATACCAATTGCGTTGTCAAAAAGCTATAACAACTCCACAAACATGGACTCCCAGAATAGAATGGACAATGACACAGGGGCCTGGCAATGTCCTTAAGCCTAAGTTGTGGAAAGGTGATATGAGATGAGATCTCTCCAGATAGTAACCCCAGTAACTTGAGTGCCATCGTACTACCCAGGAACATCGCGATATCAAGAAGAGTTCACCTTAACATATGGGAGAGAATAAAATCCAACGACCTATCAGATTCATCCATGCATGCCCTGGTCGATTTATGTCGCCAAACACCGTCTGGATATGTCCATCTTTCTTTGCCAGACCTCATCCCCAACCGAAGTCAAGTCAAGCTACTAAATAAGCTTACCTGCCATCCGCTAAGCCTCGTTTCACTTAGGCAGCCCTGGCCGTGAATTTATAACGACACAGAGATCCTACAGTTTCTGTCATCCAACTGCGACCAGAATTTTGAGCCGTGATGATGCAATCTTCTATCTTCCACAATTGATTACCAAGCAATTCATATAACTAACTAACTAACTGGGAAGTCTGATGTGCAGTTCATATCCTCTCAAGCCGCGCTGAAAGGCCGTCGTCAGGATGAGACACACCCACCCTGTCCCTGTCGCATGCGAAAGAAATGCTCAAGTGGCGTCAGGGTCGAGGAAGTTAATATAATATGAGCTCCACATTTCACCATCGACATATCTTTTTATGCAGGCTACACAACAACCCCCGAGAAACGACGCAATAAGGCATGCATACGCTGGTACTCCGTAGAAGACGGAGGACTGGCACATCAATGTCATCCCTGTGTGCTTCTCGCTAATCAAGGCCAAAGGCCAATTACAGACTCGGAGTTACCCCGTGCAGCAGCAACCAACCTCCCCGGCGAGTGGCTGTCCCCTGTCCAAAACACTTCTGTGCTGAGCATTGCTTGTTTTTGCGCCGCCTGTAGGGTTGCGGGCTTGTTATGCAGCTTTGGCGTTTACTGTGCATTTATCGGATTTAACTGTGCAGGTCCTTGTGAGGAACGCGAAGCACGGGACCAAAGCGAGCCGAATCGCGAATACCTAGTTATCGGACCATGCAAACCCCAAACATGCTATCCGTGCTCTGTTCTCCGTGAAGAGGCAGAGTACACAAGGGAAAAGCTACTTACCTTGGGACAGTCTCCACAGCCTCAAATGGCCGGAGTTAATCGCAAGCTGGGCGCAGCTTTTGCAAGTTATGCCGGTGCGCTAACTTAATCTTGTCCCCTCATGAACACCCACTACCACAAGAAGTTGGGATTGCCATGGATCATCTCCGCGAGGCCAGCCATTCTGGTCACGCCTAACTATGCAGTCATAGCGCCGGGAACAATTTCGATATGCACAGTCCGGGGCCTCACACGATACCTCCTGCAGCGCCTGGCCAATTGCGGATGATATATACTCTGCACTCTGACTGTGTATGATGTTGCCGGATGTCGTTGAAAAGTTTCGGCGCGCGGTCGTCAAGTCGGCCGGGCGGATTTCGTGGTGCAGCCGTCTCTCGAGACGAGGGGTACTGTTTTTAGCCGCTTTATCCGATTTCAAAACCGTGTTTGCTGCCCCAGCGGTGAAAAATCAAAGGAATATAAATATGTCTGTTGCGTATAATTCCATGCACAGACCCACCCTCCCTCCCTGCTAGCTGTCCACGCCAATAGCCAACGGGATATTTTCAAGATGGCGTTAAAGTCCCGAAGCCGTGTTCTGAACCTGCACCAAGTTGCGTGGTTATGAGCAAGGTAGGAGAATGATGATAAAACACAACTGCCGAAAGCACCCACCAAGATCTTACCCAATACGAGATGACTGCTACTCTATGTGGGTTGACTGGCATCCCTCTTAGTGCCGGCCTTCCTCCTGCCGAGGTGTTTAGCGGGGGGGAAGCAGAAGGATAAGCTTCTGTCAAGCATCGAGTTACTTGGTCTGTCCCCCCCGCCATGAAATGAAATAATAAATGCTTGCGGTTCCCCCGGCTCTGGGGTCTTGACTTCATGGAAATTGCATGCGCCTCACCGTTTGGGCTTATTTCAACCACGCCTCTGTTTCCCGATTCCAGCTTCAAGAAATCTGTCCTTGATTTTTTTTCCCCTTTCTTTTTTCTACCTGCGGTTTTCGATGCTCTGTTGAGTTTCTCGGTGCCAGTATTTTGCTCATCAACAACATGGGATTTGACTTTTAACCCCCAGGTACAGGAATACTTAATGTTGAACTTGTCATATCGTTCTCGAACCCATATTTTGATAATCTATTTCCGGCTTTAGCTCTTTAAAAAGATAAGGGGTGTGTGGAAGCAGAAGAATGCTCTATGGCTGGACCTGCTTTTCACTCCTCCCATCCGAATTAAAAGAATAAACTGGGTAGATTAACGTCCACACCTACTTGTGGACTACCCTAAACCTCGGTCGTTCCCATGGCGGGTCAGCGATAGTACGTACCCGTGGACCACTTTTATCGCAATCGTCAATGCTAACAGAACTATAAGAAGGGTCAACGATTGTTGAACCTAACCTCGATGACGGTGCATCACTGTCGAGCCATTCTACATCCCGGCCACACTCTCCCGAGAATAAACATGCGATGTCCACGAATGCTGCCGATCTAGAAAAAGGATTGAACCTCCACAATGGGGGTGAGGACAAGTCCCAATCCCGAAACCAGTCCGAATCAGGGGGCGAATCCGCAGAGTCAAACATAGTCGATTGGGATGGACCCAACGACCCCATGAACCCGCACAATTGGCCAAGGACCAAAAAGATAGGCATCGTGGTAGTAATAGCAATGATCACTTTCTTAACGTATGCCAATTCCATCCCTTCTTCGCCGCATGGACTACTTCTTCGTTTCCTTCGGTTCAACTAGGACCAAAAAAAAAAAAAAAAAAAAAAAAAATTTTAACGCTTGTGACTAGGCCTCTTGGATCCTCCATGTTCGCCCCTGGTACTGCGGAGGTCATGAGCGAATTCAAAACGTCCAACCCAGAACTTGCCTCCTTCGTCGTTTCCGTCTACCTGCTCGGGTACGCCTTCGGCCCCCTAATCATTGCACCGCTCTCAGAACTCTATGGGCGGATGTCTCTCTACCACGTCTGCAATATCCTTTTTATTGTTTTCAACGTTTCTTGTGCCGTTGCCTCCAGCTTAGACTCGCTTATTGTCTTCCGTTTCTTTGCTGGCGCAGCAGGTAGCTGCCCCTTGACCCTCGGTGCAGCCTCGCTTGCGGATATGATCAGGCAAGAAAAAAGAGGAGCGGCTATGGGTGCTTGGGCCCTGGGGCCGCTAGTCGGTCCTGTCGTTGGCCCAATTGCAGGCGGGTACTTGACCGAGGCGATGGGGTGGCGGTGGACGTTCTGGATTCTCGCCATAGCAGTTCGTATATTCAACCCTCTCACCTCGCGTGTGGCCATCACGAACTTCTGTCGCTAACTGCTTTCTCCTGGGATGTAGTCTGGCGTTATCTCCATAATCGCCTTCCTCTTCTTGAGTGAATCGTGCCACCCCGTCCTTTTGGAGCGGAAAAGAAAACGCCTTGTCAAAGAAACCGGCAACCACAATCTCAAGTCCGTCCTTGACCCGGGTAAAACACCCAAACAACTATTCCTCTTCGCCATTATCCGGCCAACAAAAATGCTCTTCCTATCTCCTATCGTGTTTCTCCTCTCTCTCTTCATGGCCGTCGTCTATGGCTATCTTTACCTCCTCTTCACCACCTTCGCGAACGTGTTCGTTGAAAAATATAATTTCTCGACAGGTATGTCTCTATCTATTATATATCTATCTTACTTCTTCAAAATATCTCCCATGCCCGCCAGCCCCCACTCCCCGAAGATCTTCAAAATTCATTAGGTCAACTAACCCCCTATTATTAAACAAAATAGGAAGCGTTGGCCTGGCGTTCCTGGGCATTGGCGTGGGCTCGATCACGGGCCTCGCAATCAGCTCAGCATTCTCAGACACCATCCTGCAGCGCCTAGCGAAGCGAAATAACGGCGAGATGAAGCCCGAATACAGAATCCCGCTGATGATTCCGGGCGGCCTCTGCGTCCCCATCGGGCTGTTCTGGTACGGTTGGACGGCTGAGAAGGGCGTTCACTACCTCGCTCCAATCGTCGGCACAGGTTTTGTCGGTGGGGGCATGATCATAATATTCGTACGTCAATTCACTTTTTTCTTTCCTTTCCGTCCTTTTCTTTTCTTTTCTTTTCTTTTTAAGGACCAAATTGATTAATTTGTCCTGTCCGCACCCTTCCAGATGACCGGATCCACCTACCTTGTCGACGCCTTCACGATCCACGCCGCCAGCGCCATGGCGGCCACCACCCTCCTGCGCTCCCTGGGCGGCGCGGTGCTGCCCCTCTGCGGCTTGAAGATGTACAGCACCCTGGGCCTGGGGTGGGGCAACTCGCTGCTGGGATTCATTGCGTTGGCCCTGACGCCAATTCCTTGGGTCTTCTACCAGTTCGGAGAGCGGATGCGGACGAGCAAAAGGTTCCATGTGGAGTTTTAACTGACTAGAAAAATTAATAGATGTGCGAGGGGTTCCTTGGGTTTGGCGTTGGGGAAAATATATATATATATATATATTTCATTTTTCTTGATTTTTACGTGCACTCACTCACGCACTGGAGAAAGGGAGGGAGGTAGAGGAAAAGGGAGCTCGAGGAATGCTTATCGACACCACCCTTTCTTTTTCCATCATCATCATAATCGTCATCATAACATACACAGGCGTTGAATCTGGTTACAATAGATAATATAGGATATATGTGGAGAGGCATTGCAAAAATACCACACATAACCCCATTTTCCTCATAACTATCTACTAACTAGTTATATATATTTTATGTAACATCCTGGAGTCATTATGAATCTTATTTTCTTAAACTGATCTGTCCCTTTTCATAATATATATATATATATATATACAGTTTACTGTAGCAGGCATATGGTTGTATATGTACACGAGTAGATATTGAGCTTCTTTTCCCAGCATGGCCTTCACCCTATATTCCGGTGCTTTCTCTTTTCTATTTCTTCTCCCCCCCCCCCCCCCCCCCTGGTGAATTTCATGAAATCCTTACAAACCCCTCCACACAGACTCTAGAAGACGTGGGAGCCAGACTGAACGGCTTACCTGAGGCAACGGCTGCTGCCGCAGGGGGGAACAAGACGGCTGGACGACTGGACCAACCGTCTGTAAGCATACGGCAAGCATCCGTACCAGCCTCTGGGCGCCAAGTGTCGATGGCAGCACCAGAGCGGATACTACGCCGGTCGAGTAACGAGAACTCGCAAGTATATCAGTCGAGTGACGATGACTCGCAGGAACAAGTGTCGTCTCAATCGAGTGACGATGACTCGCAGCCTAATGTTGCTGAACAGGGAGATAGGACCTTGTCGCCGATACGGAGTAACGACAGTTTTGGATCATTTTCAGATTTTATACAGGATGATTTCCAGACGAGTGAGTCACTGACCGACGGCGACCAGCGACAGGACGACACTCAACAACGAGCGCTACCCCAGTCGAGTGACGATGACTCGCAGCCTACTGTTGCTGAACAGGGAGATAGGACCTTGTCCCC